ATTTATCATTTAAACTGTATGAAATGATGTTACTCACTTGTGCGTCGTTGGTGGTAGACACTATTGGAGCGGTATCTGGTGTGTGATATTTTGGTCACTAAAACAATTAGGTAATATCGCCGCCTATTCAAAACATATGACGATGTGACTTATTCAGTATAAATATATGTATTAAATGATATAATTGAAAAAATAAAAATTCGCATTATCCGGTACAGGTAAATAATAATAAAACACTTTTGGTTAGTTAAGCATAAGTGTTTTTCATATCAAATCTTCATATGCTTTTCAATAAGTTGAAGAAGTTTTACTTATTCCTTAAGAGGCCTTGTGGTTATATATATATATATTATTGTAGATATCACCATATCCCATCGAAAATGTTAGGGTGTTATATTTCGGTGAATATTATGGTGATTCATCAAACCAAACTGAATAGGTTCTACCGCCACAATGAATAAGTGATCCTCTATAATGAATAGTTTGTATCACCTAATCGTTTCACAGGAATCAGTTTAGTGGAGTAAAAAGTAAAAACGGAACTGGTGGTCTTTTAACCCATTAGGTTTACTGTATATACACGCATTTGGTGTTCTTTATCAGATACATGAAAATGACTAAATTTTATTGAATTGTGGGAGTAGTGCACTGTCCATCTTCATTCGGTCACTTTTCCTCAATCGCCTCCTACATGTGATTAAAAATACATGTCCTTTGAAGGGTAAAACAGTTGTTTGGTGCAGTTTAAAAATTCAGCTCTTTTGTACCTAATCAAAGGTGTTATTCATTTGTGGCAGTCTTCGATTTCCTAAACACATTTAGGGTTTGTTACCAATACCATTATTTCTGAAGATGTCAGTCACTGACAAACTCGGTCAGGATTTTGAGAGATGTAGGTTGTTGAATTATTGCTAAGTTTTGATCACATCAGGGATATGTTTTAATTTCTCTGTGAGATTGGGTTTGAAAGCTTGACGTGCTTTGTTATTTACCTTCTAATTGGCCAATGTTTACAAGGCGGGTGTCGTCGATGATGCAGAAGACATGCTTCGGAACATCTTGTTTTCTTTCTCCCTGTACATTTTCCGGAGTCCCTGTGTATTCCCTCCCCCATCCCCCCACCTTTTTATCATATTTTGCCCTAGCAAGCTGGGTTGAAGATATCTCAATTTATTCATGTTAATCACACTGGCCCATTTTCAAGGCTACTGAAGTCAAACAAAGTACATGTATGTCAAAATCTTCAAACAGTTTTTTTTGCATCATTAAAAGACCTGATTTTGGCAAAAGAGCATGCTAGGATGATGTACCCAATAGCTAAACATGCTAGGATGATGTACCCAATAACTAAACATGCTAGGATGATGTACCCAATAGCTTGCTAGGATGATATACCCAATAGCATGCTAGGATGATGTACCCAATAGCATTCTAGGATGATGTACCCAATAACTAAACATGCTAGGATGATGTACCCAATAACTAAACATGCTAGGATGATGTACCCAATAGCTTGCTAGGATGATATACCTAATAGCATGCTAGGATGATGTACCCAATAGCATGCTAGGATGATATACCCAATAGAATGCTATGATGATGTACCCAATAGCATTCTAGGATGATGTACCCAATAACTAAACATGCTAGGATGATGTACCCAATAGCTTGCTAGGATGATATACCTAATAGCATGCTAGGATGATGTACCCAATAGCATGCTAGGATGATATACCCAATAGAATGCTATGATGATGTACCCAATAACTAAACATGCTAGGATGATGTACCCAATAGCATGCTAGGATGATGTACCCAATAACTAAACATACTAGGATGATGTACCCAATAGCATTTTAGGATGATGTACCCAATAGCATGCTATGATGATGTACCCAATAACTAAACATGCTAGGATGATGTACCCAATAATTAAACATACTAGGATGATGTACCCAATTGCATGCTAGGATGATGAACCCAATAACTTAACATTCTAGGATGATGTACCCAATAACTAAACATGCTAGGATGATGTACCCAACAGCATGCAAGGATGATGTACCCAATAGCATGCAAGGATGATGTACCCAATAACTAAACATACTAGGATGATGTACCCAATAGCATTTTAGGATGATGTACCCAATAGCATGCTAGGATGATGTACCCAATAACATGCTAGGATGATGTACCCAATAGCATGCTAGGATGATGTACCCAATAGCTTGCTAGGATGATGTACCCAATAGCATGCTAGGATGATGTACCCCATAGCATGCTAGGATGATGTATCCAATAGCATTCTAGGATAATGTACCCAATAACTAAACATGCTAGGATGATGTACCCAATAACTAAACATGCTAGGATGATGTACCCAATAACTAAACATACTAGGATGATGTACCCAATAGCATTTTAGGATGATGTACCCAATAGCATGCTAGGATGATGTACCCAATAACATGCTAGGATGATGTACCCAATAGCATGCTAGGATGATGTACCCAATAGCTTGCTAGGATGATGTACCCAATAGCATGCTAGGATGATGTACCCCATAGCATGCTAGGATGATGTACCCAACAGCATACAAGGATGATGTACCCAATAGCATGCAAGGATGATGTACCCAATAACTAAACATACTAGGATGATGTACCCAATAGCATTTTAGGATGATGTACCCAATAGCATGCTAGGATGATGTACCCAATAACATGCTAGGATGATGTACCCAATAGCTTGCTAGGATGATGTACCCAATAGCATGCTAGGATGATGTACCCAATAGCATGCTAGGATGATGTACCCAATAACTTAACATGCTAGGATGATGTACCCAATAACTAAACATGCTAGGATGATGTACACAATAGCATGCTCGGATGATGTACCCAATAGCTTGCTAGGATGATGTACCCAATAGCATGCTAGGATGATGTACCCCATAGCATGCTAGGATGATGTATCCAATAGCATTCTAGGATAATGTACCCAATAACTAAACATGCTAGGATGATGTACCCAATAGCATGCTAGGATGATGTACCCAATAGCATGCTATGATGATGTACCCAATAACTAAACATGCTAGGATGATGTACCCAACAACAGGCTAGGATGATGTACCCAATAACTAAACATGCTAGGATGATGTACCCAATAGCATGCTAGGATGATATACCCAATAGCATGCTAGGATGATGTACCCAATAGCATGCTAGGATGATGTACCCAATAACTAAACATGCTAGGATGATGTACCCAATAACTAAACATGCTAGGATGATATACACAATAGCATGCTCGGATGATGTACCCAATAGCATGCTAGGATGATGTACCCAATTGCATGCTAGGATGATGTACCCAATTGCATGCTAGGATGATGTACCCAATAACTAAACATACTAGGATGATGTACCCAATTGCACGCTAGGATGATGAACCCAATAACTTAACATGCTAGGATGATGTACCCAATAACTAAACATGCTAGGATTATGTACCCAATAACTAAACATGCTAGGATGATGTACCCAATAGCATGCTAGGATGATGTACCCAATAGCTTGCTAGGATGATATACCTAATAGCATGCAAGGATGGTGTACCCAATAGCATGCTAGGATGATGTACCCAATAGCATTCTAGGATGATGTACCCAATAACTAAACATGCTAGGATGATGTACCCAATAGCATGTTAGGATGATGTACCCAACAGCATGCAAGGATGATGTACCCAATAGCATGCTAGGATGATGTACCCAAAAGCATGTTAGGATGAAGTACCCAATAGCATGCTAGGATGATGTATCCAATAGCATGATAGGATGATGTACCCAATAGCATGCTAGGATGATGTACCCAATAGCAAGCTAGGATGATGTACCCAATAGCTTGCTAGGATGATGTACCCAATAACATCAAAGATGATGTACCCAATAACATGCTAGGATGATGTACCCAATAGCATGCTAGGATGATGTACCCAATAGCTTGCTAGGATGATGTACCCAATAACATAGCATGATAGGATGATGTACCCAATAACTAATCATGCTAGGATGATGTACCCAATAGCTTGCTAGGATGATGTACCCAATAGCATGCTAGGATGATGTACCCAATAGCTTGCTAGGATGATGTATCCAATAGCATGATAGGATGATGTACCCAATTAACATCCTAGGATGATGTACCCAATAGCATGTTAGGATGATGTACCCAACAGCCCAACAGCATGCAAGGATGATGTACCCAATAGCATGCTAGGATGATTTACCCAATAACATGCTAGGATGATGTACCCAATAGCATTCTAGGATGATGTACCCAATAACATCCAAGATGATGTACCCAATAGCATGCTAAGATGATGTACCCAATAACATGCTAGGATGATGTACCCAATAGCAGGATAGGATGATGTACCCAACAGCATGCTAGGATGATGTACCCAATAGCTTGCTAGGATGATGTACCCAATAACATAGCATGATAGGATGATGTACCCAATAACTAATCATGCTAGGATGATGTACCCAATAGCTTGCTAGGATGATGTACCCAATAGCATGCTAGGATGATGTACCCAATAGCTTGCTAGGATGATGTACCCAATAGCATGCTAGGATTATATACTATGAAGTTTATTAAAATGTATGATCTGTGCCTTCTTTCGAGTTCAAATTGGTAATAAACAGCAAAACTATAAAACAACTTCTTCTAAATAATCAAAAGGTCAAGAGTCAATATGACCAGCGAGTGGCACTGTGGGATTAAGTATAAAAAGTTTGCCAAAATGAATGACTTCATATCAATCAACCAGTCAAAAGGCAAATGGTCTTGAGTAAATGACAACCAGATTTGCGTGCTTAAAGTTTAGAATTAGTGCTAAAATTTAAACAAATGACCTGCACCTAACTTAAAGGTCAAATGTGTGACAAATTTCAAATACATTCAGATGAATAAAAATATACAAAGACAAAATACCAGTAGAGGAAAAATAATTATATTTGACTTTCATATATTTTCCATTAATTAAGAGACATAATAAAAACATTAAATATACAACAGTTTTCTTGCAACCTTTGACACACAGTGTAAGTCTTAAAAAAATCACATTTCATTAACATGCCTTACTTCAGTAACAAGAAAATCATAGTTCACCTTAAATTTGTGAACATTTAGAAAATGCTTCTATCATTGAAATTTCACAAAAGACTTGATCTTAATTGAGACCTAGAGTCACTAAGTTGTACTACAAACAATGGAACTACCAGGTACTGTTAGTTGGGGAAGATCGCTGTATTTCAATAACTGATGAGTTATTCAATAAATTACTGACGTTAATAACATAAAGTCAAGTTTCGGTAAAATGAACAACATCAAATTTTTGAATCAGAACATGATCAATATCGTTTAACTCTTTTTTGTTGTTGAATCTGTACAACATTTCCACATCTTTATTTGTTCGAAAAAATCTGCCTGCTCAATCAATTGTGTTCAAATTAATTTTGCGAAGTCAAACACTTTCTCATCAAAAATTATACACACTGACATAGCACTTTGCTACTGGAAATGTTAATAATTTATTGATATTTTGGTGCCCTGACCAAATATTTAATGATCGGAATGCTAAGAAAGTACAAATATTTCCATGCATGATCTTCTGTTCAGTTGATCACATTGAAACTGGATAGTAATCTCTTGTTTTGTAAAGAAAGAAAAACAACAAAGTGTTGAAATAATTTTTTGTTCTGTTTTTCATTCAGTCCAAATACGTTAAGAAACTTGTTTGAACTATTTGATTTCATCAGCTTCGATTTTCCATTAACTTTCTGTACATCCATACTTTACTCGAGAAAAATAACAATCAAATCCAAGTGAGATGGTATTATCATACAGAACCCTGAATCGTGTTGGTAAGATCAAAAAATTAAATAGCTGTGCTGGAGGCCATACAATCCATTCAGCCAGATACAGAATAGCACCTTTACTTGTAGTCTCCTCTTTTATTTCTTCCCAAGTCTTGTTTTCTAGTATAGAAGTCGTTAGTAAAAACAAGGAGATGTAAATTGGAGAGCAGATCAACTGATCAACAATAACCTTTTTGAGTACAACTTTGATCGTTTTGCCGGGAAGCCATTTGTCCAAGAAAAGGTACCAGTAGTGGCAAAATGGTCCTATCACTAGTCCAGAGGCTGCCACATGTTTGCTGCGAGTCAGATTCATTGCCTTGGCTTCTTTTGTCCTGATCTGGTACCTCTGCTGAAGGAAGTCTCCAGTACATGATAATCCCACTGTTATACTGACATTAGTCACTAGCAAATATTTTTTGCCAAATAGTACTTTCCCACTGTCTGAGACAGCCTTCTGAACAGGCTTGGACAATTGCTTCAGCCATCTTAGGCCCAGCATGTCTCTTGAGTTCACCAATGCATTCAGTTGTCTATTGAAAAGAAATGCTGGAGAATGCTCTTTAAAAATCCATCTCCTGTAAGGAAATAAGAAGAAAATTGTTATAAAATTAAATAGGCAAAATACAAGAGGCACAAAAGCCATAACAGTCATCTAGCTTCAAAAAATTTCAGCATGTAGAAGGGTTAATTTTTCTACTTTGAATGAAATCTTCAGACAACAATCAACCCTAAAGTTGAATCAGTTACCTTTCTGAAGGCACAAACGCAGCTGGCTGAAAGCTTTTACATACCGATAGTTAAAGAATAACAACATTTTGTTCGCTACCTTTACTTAATATCCCTACCAATTTTTAGCTCAAAGGCACCAATTAAACTGGACAAGTTTGAAATATGTTTATCAAGATGGTGGCCATTATGGATTTCAGACTGATTAAAAAAAAACCTTGGTTACAACCATCTCAGGAACATTCCAGACAAGTTGGAGCTCAACCCTGCTGGTGAACTTGAGAAGTTTGAAATAGGCCTTGCACAAGAAAACCATAATTGCACAATCATATTATGAAATGGCTCAATAGCACCACTGGAACTAGAGAAGTTTTAAAAAAAATCAAGATTGCCACTGGTGGAACTTTAGGAGAAGTTTAAAATGTCAAAAGATTACACATGAGGCACAGCGGACAGCCTTGGATGAAGCACAATGGCTATAGGTCATCATGACCCTTTGGGTCAGGTGACCTAAAAATGCTGCATTACAGTTGAATTATGATGCTTAAAAAAAAACACTGAATAAGAAATATCCAAGGAAGCATGAATAATTTACATTTGCATCTTTTCTTTCTTTATAAAATAGTGTATGTGATGTTTTATCCATGAATGACAAATTGATAACAAAACGTGCCAGCTATCGTATCTTTTTTGTTACACTTACCGTAACGTTAATCCAATACAAACTAAAATATCAACAGAACATCGAAGTCACTGAAGCATGAAAAGTGGTACCTACATTGTACACCACAATGGCCTACATGAAAATCACTTGCTCTATTGCCAGCGCACAAAAATAAAATAAACAGATCATAGTGCTTGTCAAGTGTTAAAACTTAGTTTGTCTAGCTATTATGACCATATGCATCTTTTAGATTTATACAGTTATATAACGGCATGTGCAACACAATAAACTAAGAATATTTAACATTAACATTAGCTATTAAAAACTATTTGGACAGACAGCGATTTGTTAAATAAACACCAGAAACTAAAATATTCTACTTAACTGTAAGTATTAGTCCAACTTGTTTTTCAAATAAACAGATCATGAGCCTTCTAAGCTCTGACCTATTCAATGTCGTCATATTTAACCACCAGTGCTTCTATTTAGTGAGAATTTAAATGATTTCCAATGTATATGGTTATAAATCATGAATTGTAAAACTTCTCTTATTAATTTATACTTACTGTGTCAAATCATAAGGACTTCGTAATCAAACGTGTACTCTCACTTTCCAAAGGGCACCAACGGTATCACGCACGCCGGTTTCATAATGTTCGTCTGCAGGTCAACAGGGCCTGTGTATGTGGTTTAATCAAATTTGCAGAGGAAATATAACGAAACGAAATCATATCCTGTATTTGTCATTCGGATAGTTTTAGCAGAGACGTATATATCACATGTGTCATAAGTGTCTCTGGTTTTAGTCAAATGCACAGAATAATATGACTTTAACTTAATTATTAATGTTGGAAGTGTTGTCTGATCATAGAAATGAGAAATATAGAGTAATAATAATTGTTATTTGAATGAATAAATCAACATAAAAATATAATTACCAAGGACCAATGACGTATATATAACACAATATATTCGTCTCTGCAGGTACATGTACGTATAAAAGGGCCTCATGCGTTGATGTAAATACATTGTAGACAAAAAAACAGCAATAAAGATTATGTGGAACAACATATATCAAAGGTCAATGCAGACCCAAACTCGTATGGGTCAATATACATCTTTATTCTCAAACCTACAATAAACTCATTTAGCTGTGTTTAATCAGCAATTCCTTTTTACGAGTTCTTGTAACTTAACCTGCTTTACTAATGTCCAGATCCTGTGTATGTTTTTGTGTATGATCTAACGTCAATGACCTGAGCGTGTCACGCCAGATACCACCCTAGTCACTACACAGATAAAACATCTATATTAGGATGTGTCCTATATCATCATAGATACTGATATATTCGACAACTTACTATGATAAACCTGCCCCAAATGATTAGATTATCAGACTTAGAGTGTACATATCATCTGAGATCAAATCAAGTATATACTTTGTTCTCTTTAAGTCCATATTATTTTAATCAATGTTAAAATTATATTTCATTTGCAGATCGTGGAAATCTTTGGGGGGTGGGGGTTTGGGGGGTGGGGGGTGGTGGGTGGTAGGTGGGGGCATAGAACGTCAGAACAATTCGGATCGACTAGCGCTACTCTAGCAAAGTCATACGATGCCATCCACCCAAAGCCTTCCCGTAAATACAGATATACCCATAACGTAACAGGTTATCCAACGATACTCCAATATTCGACCCCATCGACTGCTAAACTTATCATGACACCATTCTGACTAAGTGAAAACCCTTGCAATGCCTATCCAACTGATTGATTGATTGATCGATTATTTGATTAGTTTGATTAGATGATTGGTTGGATGATTAGTTGGTTGGTTGAATGATTAGTTGGTTGGTTGAATGATTAGTTGGTTGGTTGAATGATTAGTTGGTTGGTTGAATGATTAGTTGGTTGGTTGATTGATTGATTGATTGGTTAATTGGTTAGTTGGTTAATTGGTTGGTTGGTTGATTGATTGGTTGGTTGATTGGTTGGTTGGTTAATTGATTGGTTGGTTGATTGATTGATTGGTTGGTTGATTGATTGGTTGGTTGGTTGGTTGATTGGTTGGTTGGTTGATTGATTGGTTGGTTGATTGGTTGGTTGGTTGATATCTTGATTTCTTGATTTCTTGATTGACAGGTTTTCCGTCTCCGTGACTTCTCCCGTATCCGATTATTGTCTCACCGAACGTCAGTGTTCTTGCGACGTTATGCCTATACAACTCCTTTCCTAATTATCCAACGTTATTTATACCTAGGCAACGCCTACAATAATGAAATCAATTCATGATATACCGTATGACGCGCGAAATACGAAACTGAAAAATGAAATAAAGATATGTTCAACTTAAAAATGGTAAAAATATGTCACAAGTGTAGGCTCTCTACGAATCATAAATAAATGCAGATGTACGCATTTTATTATAATTTTCTAAAATATATGTATGATCTATAACAGTGGATATTGTAATGATAAAACTGATATAGATAATTGATATATCACCCTATCGCAAAGGACGCAAGATTACTGGTTTCTAGGTGAGTAAGATTTATACCGTATCTAATGGCACTTGTGATATTTCAATCATTCACAAATACATATGATTATTAGAGCGTGTACAGCATAAGCATAAAACGAATAAATATTTGCATTGTCACATAGCCATACTTTTAATCCATGGCAAACCGATACAGATACAACTGTATTTTATCCAGATTTCATTTTATAGTATAAATGTAGATTCCGTCTTTTTTCGTATATTTTTTGTTTTGTTTCTATTTATCTGTAAAAGGCTATTTGTATGTTTTACATATTTTTGCACGGGATTGACTTGTTTTGGCAAAATAACAATCAATTATCCTATTTTCTTTGTGAGTACGTTCGTATAATATTACGTTCTTTTTATTTTAAATATACACGGAACATCTTTACCGGAAGTACTATTTCAATCGTTCCCATGCGTTTTGCTGAACTCTCAAGTCAAAGCATGAGGGATCGAGTAATGATTTGAGTGTAGCGCCATCTTTGCCGCGAACGGTATCAAAAACCAACATGTGCTTATATTTGAAGTGACCCAATCGGCACATGTGTGATTATTTAATTCAAGATCATCGTCCTACACGTTCAATATATTTTGGTAAGGCGTTTGAACTTAATACAATACTGAGTGCGACTATGTCAATGGAAATTTTCTCTCTTTTTGTGCGTGTCTTATGTCTTTCTTTGGTCATGTTGATCAACGATCTCGGCCCTTTAGTCTGGTATGTCCATCTCGATTTCAAATCTTAAATGTGTCAATTGTGCGCTCTTTAATTTGAAATTATTGACGTCATACACGTAAAATAATGGCATAGATTTGTCTCTTCGTATTGTATAATTACAGTAAACAACCTACCACAATGAATGGATGCAGCTGAAGGTATAATATTGTACCTGATTATTTTCAACCACAAAAGTTCCTGTATTAAAAAAAAAACAAATATTCAGTAAAGGGAAAAGGACAAGTTATCCAAATTCATAATTCTTGTTTTCAGACATGTGGACATAATATGTTAGATTTACTTCTATATCTTTAAGCACAATATCAAATTTAATGAATAGACACTAAAATGTAATTGATTTGCACTGAAAGAAAGCAGAACAAAAAAAAAAAAAACAAAAAACAAAACTGTTATACATTGGAGTTTATCAGAGATATGGATAACTTCAAGATCTGAAGTACTTGCTGTACTTAATTAGAGTGACTTTAGAAGGCATGTTACAAATCAAATGAGTAAGGACAGGTTATAAGTTGAATATGGAGCATCTACTTATCTAGATCTTTGCTAGCTTTGAATGAAATGGTCCAGACGAGCGAAAAAAATCTTTGTATAGGCAAAGGTTTGATTTCAAATATATTGAAAATTGATTTTTAATTTCAGGAACTCTGATGTCAGAAAGTCTTCAGAATTAATATATGTTTAGATCAAGACTAACCTGCAATTTAGCAGTTTTGCTACAAAATTGATCAATTTTGTTTATTTTTTAGTTTGACAGATTTGACCTGTAGCAAAATATTTCATCATGATGCCCAGAATGCGAATGCCGATGAGAGCTCCACACCCAATGGGTCCTGGACCCCATGGCCCTGGAGGTCATCCAGGCGGTCCTCATGGTCCGCCAATGCCCCATCGTGCTCCTCACATCCCTCCTCATGGCCGTCCTGGACCACCAGGGCACATGGCTGGACCTCCACGCCAATCCATGCCTCCTCCTATTGGCCAAACATCTGTTGGTAGTGTCACAAATGACCCATCAACAGCTGGTGCCAGAGTGTTTGTGGGGAATCTCAACACAATAGCATTGTCAAAGGAAGAAGTTGAAGCAATCTTCAAGCGTTATGGGGCAGTGACTGGACTGTCAATGCACAAAGGCTACGCCTTCATCCAGTATGCAAGACAAGCTGATGCTCGGAGGGCATGTATCAATGAAGATGGGAAAATGTATGCCAACCAGACCCTAGGTAAACAATGAACCTTACATTGTCAACAATTTCAGAATTGTGAAAAAGCAGGTTCTGCCTTACTGGTTTGCAAAACAATATACTTCAATCATATTAAATTGCAAACATAAAACACATTGTAATGATAAAAATGCATCTGTGTTTAGGTAAAATTAAGCAAGATTCACATATATTTTCATTCTGAGCACTCTAAGCCTTGTATAATGTTTCTATGATAGAAGTGAAGTTTTTAGATGTTTATTCAAAGTTTAAGCAGTTGTGTAAATGATATATATACAAATGTATCTTATGCTTTTTATACTTTTACATAAACCTGGTCAGTTTTATCATGTGTATATGAAAGACAACGAGTCTTTATTTGGTAATATTTATTGTGAAGTGACTGGTAATATTCCATTTCAGATATAAATATTGCATCAGAGCCAAAACATCGGCAAACAACAGCTACAAATGCTGTTAAGAAGGCAACCACAAATTTTCAAAGGTATTCATTTGGAGACAGAATTTTAGTTTTGCAATGATTATAGATACATATTTAAGAAGACTTTCGTGTAACAAGTTATAAGAATATCATACTTTTTTTTAATGCCCTTCTTAAGTAATTCCTTTTTTAATTTGAATGTAAGTAATTGTTCTCTGATTTTTAGAAATGGTATTTTTCTCTTTTTTGTACTATATGTAAATTTTTATGATGGTATGAACAGTACTACAGCTAAATCTTCGGGAGTGAACCGAACGTTAAGTGGAGGAGGACCTCCAGCCAAGAAAATGAGGACAGATACACAGATTAGTGGCGGTATTAAGCGTACACTTGTCAGTCTGACATCTGGAGATATGGGCACTACAGCCAAGACTGGCCTCAACAAGAATTCAAATGCTGTATCTTCAAATGCCAGCAAGGTCGTGAGTAAGTAAATTCACAATGATTATTTAAGTATGTACTTCACAGTTAAAAATACAGTGGACAGTCTAGTTTTAGTTCACAATGCGACCAATATTGATGAAGTGATCAGTAATCTGGGGTACCTATTTGATATTTACTACCTTGGCTGACGAGTATTGACGGTCTATACTATGAGCTAAGATACTAATCTAATAATGATGTATCCTTACAATAATTACCAATATGGTTGTGTAATTTTGACTTCGTGATTTTTCTATGCTGTTGGAGATTGAAATCTTTGCTTCAAAAGTTTTGTGTAATCACCATTTTCATTCACTTAACTTTGACTTGAGTGCTCAACATCCTAAAAATTTTCTGAAAGGTACTGACTTGAGTGCTCAACATCCTAAGAAATTTCTGAAAAGTACCGACTTGAGTACTCAACGTCCTAAGAATTTTCTGAAAGGTACACTTGTAAGCCTATAGGATTGGTACATAAATGATACAAGAAGCGTGTAATTTATGTGGTAACTTTTCAACTTATCTTCTGCTCCTTTGTGTATTTTATAGTTGGAAAAGACGTACTGATCTGTGGTGTTTGTAAAAGTCAATTTGCCAGTCTTCACAGTCTGGCTCAACACAAGAAGACGCCGTGTCGTCTCAGGTTTTCTTGTATATGTAAAAATGCGCCACCTCCAGGTATGACAGCTATCATTTAATAACTAGTGTTGATAATGGTAGTTTTATATATTAAGCTAATTGGTAGTACCTTACATTATTTCAATATGTACCTTAAAGGTGATTTCACAGACCATTGGTAATTATGAAATATAAAATAAGCTATTTTTTCCTTTATTACTATAATTGGTATTGTTTACTCCAATGTTTTGGACAGTTTAAAGGGATTGGTTAATATTTCTTTTACTGAATATGGTACCTATTTTCTACGTAAATCTTCAGTGTGAACATTTCCATTGTAAGACAACTACTGGAGGTAAAAAGATTTGATATTAGAGTATTAGGGAGTGAGGATCATAGGGTCAGTATTTTCAGAAGGATGACTACCAGTAGACTGATATCCATTGTCCATCATTTTACAGAGAGTCCAGAACCAGCCATTTTGTTCTGTGCTCACTGTGATGCACAGTTTGCAGCATGTTGGGATCTTGTTCTCCACGCACAGCAGGAACATAGTCTATCCATCTATAAGCAGGTAAGAACACAATTTTTTCTTTCTCATGAGGTGTTAAGAGGTCAAAGATCATTCAGAATTGATCTCTGTTGCAATATCATTTGAGAGGTGGTAAATGATTCTCTCTGAACAGTAATGTTGATTTCTTTTTAGATAGCACCACACGAAATAAAAAAATATTTCTATTATCTATATACCATAGAAAAGTTGTAGATTAAATTTTTTCAGATTTGCAACAATTAAGTCGGATACTCTTAACCTTTGAAGACATGGCAAACAATTTAATTTAAACAAGTTATCTCACCGATCATGTACTACACAATATTGAAATTTGACTATTCAATTTTCATAATTTCACCAAACAATTCCCATTCTGTGTCTTGAACTTGGAATGTACTCTGCTGTAAAATTACATAGTTGTTGTCAGTTGAAAAAATCCCCCAAATATACAGGAGCATACAGACAGCAGTCATTTGTTGTATGTTTTATGGTAGTTGGCCAGTTTCACCAACTACTATAAAACATACAACAACAAAAGACTGCTGTCTGTATGTTCCTATACCTGACTGCTTCAGACTTATTGCCTACAACTGAAATGTTCATAAGGTTGCTTTCAAAGTTTGTGGATGTTTACTGTTTATTGTTAAAGGATCACAAAGTGATTAAGTACATATGTATTAACAAAGGAGAAATTTATGAAAATTGTGAGATTGATTATTTTTCAAAGTGTCCTGAATTGGATCTGATTGATTTTGTTTTCAGGAAGGAGAAGAAAACACAGAAGTAGTTGTTGAGGTGAGTGATAATAGTTATGATGTACTTTATATTAGCTACAGTTGGAACAATTGCTTGGAAATCAATGATGTTATTCATATATGAAATGTCAGATTGTTGTCTTACTTGTTGTTCACAGTCCACACTATGAGTACTTTAATAACATTGTACATTTAACTTGTAAATATAGGTTACATCCATATTTAATGGCTATCATCTTTCAGTTTGAATAATTGGCTGTTTATGTCAAAATTTCTTACAAGCAAATATTGACCACTCATGTTTACTGCAAAAATATCTTAAGTCTGCCATGTGATGTTCAAAATGCCTTTTGCCTGTGGTCAGAGGAATTTTCAAATTAAAGAGCAAATTAAAGGAAAGGATTAAACTGATAAAGAACAATTTAATGACATACCATGGTGTGCCAAGATGTTAGTGGGGTTTGTTTTATAAATGACTGTACAACAAATTCATATATCAGTTAGATGAAAGGAATTGGATATGTTATTGAGAGTAATGAATTTTTTTTTCTGTTGCAGGAAGTGTTGGTTGCAGACGGAGAGGGAGAAGTGAATGGAGAGTGAGAGGAGGACATGATGATCCCTCAGGGTGAGGAAGGCTTCACTGTTTATTGTCAAAACTTCCTTTTACAGTCCAGGCCAATGGCTGACACATGTGACCTGAGGACTAAAACAAGGGGGATAATCAGCACCAGGGATCTGTTACCACACACCGTAGTAAATTGTTGCAATTTATTTTTCATTGTTTGATATGAACAGCTTGTTCAAGGTATCTGGTATCTATAAGTCAAAGTGTAATGTATATTTTGTATTGCATAATTACAACATTGTTATGTCGACACCCTTATTATGATCATGTTCACGTGTTAATAGGTATTTGATGTCTGTGCAGTTGAGAAGAGGTGAATTTATTTATGCTGTTTGTCAACTTTAAACTTAGTCATATATAAATTTAAAATTAGCATTGTCATTTGAGACCTTTAATTGAAAATATCTTCGTCAGATCCATCCAATCATTATTCTGAAGTGTAAACTATGTTTTAATATATGTTAAATTCAATGTGTTAATGCAATTTTTGAGAAATTTTAGAAGTTACACGTTTGATATCATGCCTTCGTGTAAGTCTGAAAGGAATTTGTTTTTATGTAATGCTAAGTTTGTGTTTGTACATTGAAATGTTAGAGCCGTTACCTTGAATGAAAATCATGAAGGTATATATGGCATTGTCATATATGAAAGCATTGGTGTGTTCATAGCTAGGGTGTATTAAGTGGATAAGTTGATGTGCATTTATCATATTGTTACTTTTGGTTTTAAAGTTTGTAAATGTTCATATCTCGCCTTGGAATCTTATTGTCTGTACATGTATATAGATGTTCATCTCTTACTATGGAATCCTGTCATCACCTGCCAAGAATAAATACAAATGTCATGTCTATCCTGAGATAATATTAGTTATTGTATAAATCTGACCAATTATAAGAATTTTCATTCTGTATATATCATCAAAGTTGAATTTTGGTGAGCTATACAGTAAGTCTATTGTGTTCTGGAGGTCTTTTTATTATAACAAGTCCCGGATACAATTTGTTGATGGTAAGGTTAAATGCCTATTTATACACATGCACTAAATTAAAAATTGATATTTCATCTTTACCAATGATTAATTGATTTATAGTTGATTTTCTTGATTGATCGGTTATTATTCATAATTTCATTTCCCTGTGGATCAGTTATTCAATCTGAGTTACAACATAATTAGTTCTCACATGATAAAACATGTTTGATTTTGTAGTAATACGTTGATACTGACTTTTCAAGCTTTTCTTTTATCTACAAAGAAATTGTTAGTACCCAGGTACATTCATTCAGTCTATTTAATAAGTTTATGGAAAGCTTCACACTATTTGAAAAACATTCTAAATTTTTGAAAATACTGTTTGAATAGCTTGAATTTTTGTATCAATTTTCAAAATATTTGAACTGTTTTGTACCCTTTGTTCAATAAATCTGTATCAGAGTTAATTTTGATTTATGTACTTGTTAACATATTTTTTTTTCTCAAATAAAATAACATCTAGGGACTATTATTTGTTTTTTCATCTCTTCTTTTAACATATGTCATGGACCATTTGAAGGTGAAATTGTTTAATTAATCTTTTTGACAAAGCATGTCTTTAAGTTATTTTTATTTTGGTCCTATAACTGGAAAATGAATTTCATTTGAAGAAGAGGTAAACTTTAAATGATTTTATAATCACGAAACAAGTCTTTGTCTGCTATATTTTGTGCAGTAATCTTTTGATTGTCAAAGATCTTACAATTTCTCTTATGCTAAACACTGATGGTTATGACTCTAGAGAAGACATAATATCTTAAGTTATTGGATGGACAGTTGAAAAACTTCAACTTTCAGTTTTTTTAGAGTCAATTTAATCTATTTTCCACACAAGAAATTCTGCATATTGAGATGATTTTCAACCCACTGTAAATTCATTTAAAATAAGTTTTATGATAAAGTGAGATTGTCCCTGTTTCGTTTATTTAAAAAAAATCATTCAAATAAGTGCTTGTAATTAACAGCAGATGCTTGCAGATCACACATGGTAATCATTTCATAGAAAACTTAAATTGCTAGATGGTTCCTTGAAAACATTATTTTAGAAAATCTTAAAAACAGATAAAAAATTAATCTTTAGTAAAATCAATTTTCTCTTGTTTTTTTTTCAGACACCAAGTTTAGATACACTAAGAAAAAATGAATACTGATTTTCATTAGCTTTCTGTTAAATTGTCAAATTCAACATTTCAATACCATTTTTTTTCTAAATTGTGAAGATATCAACTTAAATGAATCTCTTAAGTCTTGATGGAAGCTCTTGGTCAATTTGATGGAAATTTGGCTACTTGGACAGTTTATTGTAGGCTTTAACATAAGGTTCTTTTCTAGACTGCTTTTATGAAATAAGGCCCAAGTGTTCCTAACTTAAGTGGAAATCTAGTAAAGAAATTTTGCATATGAATCCTGGTGCACAGTATTATAATATGAAAGCTGGTTGTGGACTATTTCAAAATTTAATTTTCTCATAAAGAATAAGTGAAGCATTGCCATATTGTTTTGCAGGAAAGATTGTCATTTCAAACATTGTTAAAGAATTCATCAACATAAAGCATAGGTGAATATTTAACACCCAAGTCTTTAATCTTTAAAAGCATATTCCCAAGTATTTTTTACATAAACTATACTGATCATATGTCTTTTGACCAAGTATATACCAATACATGGCAGAGTAATGTTCACTATGTTGAGCTTAAACAATAAAGTGTATTATCAAAAGTCCAGAACAGATGATTTATTGGTAAAGATACAACAGTTAAAGTTTTACATCCACAATAAATTAGATTTTATTGTGTTTTTATAAAGATTGCTATTAAGATTTCTCCTGTATCTTGTGAACCAGACTCGAAAAAAAACCAAAATGCTTTTTCAGCATTCTGATGGGTATGCTGTTAATCTTTAGAACAGTTATGTTTTTGTTCCACCACACAAGCAATAAAAAAAACTTTGTGTTCTACTGCATTCAACACAGCTTAATGCAGTATACAGAAATTATTAAAAGGCTACATAGAAATTAGAAGTTGCTTAAGAGATATACTCTTACAAGAAATTTCAGAATCATAGTATTTTACTGAGGAATCATCTCATGATTAAAAACATGTCGTTAACGTGTTCTGCTTAAACAATCATAAAAAAATTTTTCATCTTGAAGACATTATCTTAGGAAAATATTGTAGTTTTGTTATTCTGGAATAGATATTTGTAGCAGAAACATTACATAAAGATGTATTTTTTATAAAGAATATTGATATATGTATATTATGCGATTTGCACATTTGTTTGGTCCACCCTATTTTTAACCTTTTAAACTTATTTTTTGATGACCTCTACATGAATCTAAGAATGGCCAATCCGATATTTACCTCCTCCCAATGACGTTTTTCGCAATTGGTTTTGTCTGATTACCTGAAAGATAAACATTTTTCTCCTTAATTAAAATCTTCCCTGATATATTTTGTTATATTGCAGTATGATTAAAAATTGCAGTAATAAGTATAGTCATAGTTTGAACGAGAATTGAATGTTTGGTAAACTGGCTGTGTCAAACCCACCTAAGTATCTAACGGGACGAAACTGGAAGCAATTAATATTCATGCCTTGAAGACAAAGGCAAATAACATGAGATATTAACAATGAATTCACTACCTTAAGCTTAAACACGTTTTTGTGTCATACTACACATTTGGGGTCACAGCAAGATGTATACTGATTTTATACTGGCAAAAGTTTTGCAATCCAGTCTAACAAGTATTTCTTTTAAACTTAAGTTGAAATTGAATTTTACTAAGGATCACTCAAGGAAACTCTTTAAAATAGCTTTGATGGTTGACAACAGTTTGGGTGTCCGATGACACCAGACGCTTTGGGAAAGATCTGCAGTCTTGAACACAGCAGTTACTTATATACATAGATGGAGTTTTTATGGAATCATTACATGGTGAACAATTCCAATTTTAAAAAGGTGAAATCTATATTTGGATTTCAGTTACAAGTTAAATAGCAGAGGTATACAATTCGAGTTTAAAAAGAAGAGATATATGTAATGCATTAAAAGAAATACCACGCTGCAAGTGGTTGTTAATAACTTATTGTTTTATAAATTTTCAATGAGTTATGTTCCTTATCCCTCCCTTGTGTTGTTGAATCTTGGCAGAATCCTATGATCACTGTTTGCAGAATCCCATGATCACTGCTTTAGATTTATTGGAACACATGTACGAAACTTCATCTACAGAATGTAAAGTCTTGAAAACGATTTATTGATGAATTTTAATCAATATTGTTGCAATGTTGGTCTTTTTGAACACCATTCTTCCCTCATATTTTTATTTTTGGAGTTTTGGAGATGATGAAAGAAACTTTACCTTTCTCACCTCTCCTCCAATAAGAATAACTTTCCTTCAGAAACATAATGTAACAATTCATTTACAAGATAACATTAAAAATACTGAAAATGCTACTACTACCAGTGTGTAATACCTACAGGTAGTTTTTGTTCTGAAGAATAGTATGGAATGAAGAATTATTGATTTATTAAATTTTAACACAAGATCCACAACTGGAGTAAATGATTGTAAAAAAAAATCAGCAAATTAAACAGTTTAATTGTAAGCTTGAGAATAAATAAACCAATGAAGTGGAGAATCTCACTGATATGTGAAATGACGTGAAAGGAAAATTTTTTTCATAAAATCTTATTGATTGAAGAAATCAAAGACCTTCCAGTTTTTTCTTAAAGAGTATACACACACGAAACATTTTTTAGAATTTTTGCCATGCTTGGATAAAATGAATGCCAGTGCCCTGAAGCAGTCTACACCGACTTTGCTACCAGCTTGTTGAAGGAAGTCATGTTTTTTATCGGTAAGATATTTTTTGTTAAAGATTATATAGTTTGTATCATGTATTATTAAGCATAGTTCTCTTGATCTGAATGGAAAAAATGATAGGAAATTTAATTTTGTGTAAATGTTTCAAGACTGTTATTTAACAATTTGACAAACCATCCATATCCCCTATTTTAAATATGGAGATTTTTTGTTAACGATAATTATTTTCCGTAACTGTTTTGTTCAATGAAATAAAATATGCAGGTCAGCAATAGTGTTTAATGAATAGGAAAAACAGGTTTTGGCATTGTATTCTGAAGTAGTAAGTACTAAAGAAGTGTTGATAGTTGTGATCATATCTGCAATTTTTACGACAATAGGAAAAACAAATCAGTGTATCGTGTTTGTGTATGATGATTGTTTGTATTGTTATTTTTTTTATTTCTGCATGCATATTGTATTAGTCTTTTCCAAGTAATTGTGTTCCTTGTGCAAAAATAAGATATTTATTATATCTGTACATATGTTTTTTGCCAGATTGATTTTTAAGTGTCTTGTTTTGGCAAAATGCATTCTATGTTATGTGTTAACTTTTAAGAAAACATGATATTATACTGTATTTCCATATTAACCCTCGTTTAATGATTAAGGAAAACGATTTTGTCACCCTGCCCAAAGTAAACTTAACAGCCACTTTTACAAAATCCTAATTTTGATGTTTTTTCACTGCTGTTGTTATTTCCCCCTTTTTACAAGATTCAGATTTTTTGGTAGATAACGCTAATCTTTGGAGCCTGTTGTTTTCATTGTTGATAGTTAGGATATGTATAACACTTGTAACTGGAGTTCAGGCCAACAAGTCAACACAACCTTTAAAAAATATTTAATGTTAGTTTATTTCATGGTTTTCTTCTGTTCGTTTCGCAGTTTGTTGTACTCCTCTAAACAAAATATTTCTGTTAATATGAACATGGATAGATAATCCCTATCAGTTGGTTTTTCAATTAGGAACAATTCTTTAAATGTAATATTACAAATATAGACAAATACCTGAGAGACAATGAGCACAGACATGCTACAAACAACATATTACAATAAACATGTTTTGTTTGTTGGGGTTAACATCCAGTGAACAACCATGGTCACTTTGTAGTAGTGACAACCAGGCTGAAAAACCTATGGGAGGCCTATGGAATATCATCCAGACCAATTAAGCTAAAGTATCTTATCTGAGAACCGCCACAACATCTCTGACCAACCTGTTTCTCCGCTTAAATATACAAACCATAGTGACAGACTCCATCATCATATGCATATCACAATATGAGGCTGTAACACAGGGTTGCTATAATGACAGACAGACTAGTTATGTATCGCAATATGGGACTGTTATAGTGTTGCCATAGTGACCTGGTATGATTTTGACTTACATGAGAAAGATAACTCAATATGAGGCTCTGATACAGGGTCACTAGTGATGGATGAACTAGCTACATTTCACAATATGTTACTGTGATACATGGTTGTTATAGTGACAGACAAAACTAGCTACATATCACAATATGTTACTGTGATACATGGTTGTTATAGTGACAGACAAAACTAGCTACATATCACAATATGTTACTGTGATACATGGTTGTTATAGTGACAGACAAAACTAGCTACACATCATAGTAGTATCAAGCACTTGTGAAAGATAGTGCCCTGTAACGTTTCCGACAATGACTTTGAATACTTGATAGGTTTACTGTAAATCACTCCTATTTCTTATTGGATTTATTTTCACGTGAGGAGTCAATTTCTAATTCAAAACTTTCAATATTATTTTTGATAAAATAACTCCTGATGGCATCCATGCTAATTTAGTCATGAAGAGCCCAGGTCTCCAGTAAATAGCTTATCATTTGCAAATTTAACTTTTCTAGATGGGCATTCGCAAACTCATGTATTCGCAAATATGTCTGAAGAGGTAAGTTTACTATAAGTGTTTGTTAAATCTAAGTGATTTACAGTACTATCACAACATATACAGGTGCTCTCCTCAGTGGCAGTCTGATTTGATACCATTTGGTTTTATTTGAAAAGATTGCCTACATGGTTTATATGCAGTTAGAGGATATTTGTTCCATTTTTAACACGTTTATCATGGAGTACCTCTACAATACACACTATGCAGAGAGGAATAGATGGTTGCCATTGAGTTGTTAGGTCCTTGGATGAGCTGTACACTAGTTTATGATATGTTATGTAGTTATACACCAATTCTACTGTAGTGACGAGTACAATGCATTTCTGTGATGGTTGCCATTGAGTTGTTAGGTCCTTGGATGAGCTGTACACTAGTTTATGATATGTTATGTAGTTATACACCAATTCTACTGTATTGACGAGTACAATGCGTCTCTGTGATGGTTGCCATCGAGTTGTTAGGTCCTTGGATGAGCTGTACACTAGTTTATGACATGTTACATTTGTAGTTATACACCAATTCTACTGTAGTGACGAGTACGATGCATTTCTGTGATAGTTAGTGAAGGGTTATATAAAATGGATTGTGACATTGAAGGAAACACATTCAATAAAAGTTGTTAATTATGTAGTGTAAAATTTATCAAATACTGCAGGTTTTTAACTTTCTATTTGAAAATGGTGGTAGCATGGATTTCCTTGGTTTTCCTTTGAGCATTCTTCAAGACTGATTTATTCAAATTTGATTAGGAGGTTAAGCTTTAAAAAAACCTGAAATGGGACAATGATAACCTACTGTATGAATTGAATAAACAAGTTTAAATATGAAGTATGGTCAAAAGATTAATTGGAGTTGACTTAATTTGTCTTTTAGCATTCTGAACCAAATTGTTTACTACAAAGTTGCCACACAGGTAAATGGTTTTCAATGAAGTTTTCAACCACATGTTATTCTAATACTATTTCTTCTTGGATAAATCATCCACAAAGCACAATGATTCTCTTTAGTTTTACTGAACTTATGATAAATTTAAACAGGGGTTATGAAATTACCCTATTACAGTGAAAATAACAGAGTGGATCAATAGAAGTAATTTAGAAGTTTTGATGCAGACTGACAAGACATTAAGAGATTATGACAATTTCAAAATTCAGAAAGAAATATGTCGAATTGAAATAAATATTTCTGCCAATAAACAAGGATACATACTGGGAATATCAATGGCATGAAGCTTTGGAGTTTGAAATACGATTATATTTAAACAATCGTTTTTAGTTTCTCTTTCTTTTCTGTTCCTCAAAAATGGTGCAGGTGTTGCTTCTAGCATGTCTTCTTAGAGAAAGGTAATTTGTATCCTATAGGTTATACTCTTACTTTGAGGAAGAACAGGATCAGAGTCCTGATATTTTCCATTAAAAGTATTAAGGATAACAAAGTGTAACACTAATGACTTTACTTTAATGTACATTGTATATCGTAAGATGTTTGGGAGGAGGGTGGGGGCGGGGGGAATACTCTTTAAAAAATCAACTCAGATGTGCAACCGATCTGGAGTTGCAGAGCTGAAGCTAGTCAAATGATTTGAAATTTACATTGCAATGTAATTAGAAACAAGAGAAAAAATAAGTATGTCTAGATATTTCCCGTTAAATTCTTGGTGCGGTGAATAAGAGATTGCTGTTCTTTTCAATTTCATTTATTGATTTATTCTTTTACTGCACAATGATGGCATAAAGAATCATTTCAGATTAGAAAAGAAAAAGGATTTTATTATGTTTTCTCAAATTGAAAGAATATGACATTATGGTAATTATTGTGTATTTTTGAAACTTTATATTATATTTTTGTATATTTTTAATCCTTTTAAAGGCATTATTTTTGCTTTGCTGTTGTAACATACAACTTTGCCATTATGGAACCAACAAAGAAGAAGGTTATTTTTGTACAAACCTCTTGAAAGTATGTAAATGGACGTAAGTATGGTTTTGACATTATTCATTATTGGTTGATTTTTTTATATATTCTCCGGGTTCTTCGACCGCCATTTAGTTTCTAAATTCCACTTCCGGTTAGCGAACGTCGTTGCCGCCATGTTGTCCATTTTTGCGGCCCCAATTTAATCATATATTTCCTATTCTTCATTAATGGAATAACTATGCAAGATTTTGATCTTCAGTGGTTTAAAAAGTAAGGAGTCAGTTTAATAATTGTGTTGAACTGCAATCATTAACCACGTAATCGTCTTTTGACGTGAAATACATGACCTGGGCCTACATCGGCCCTGACCAAGCGTTTGTTATTCACGAGTCCCCTAACGTTATACTCATATTAGACATGTGCTCTTTGAGGTGCCTTTTTTTGGTTCACATGTGCTGTGAACCATATAAGCACATGTATTGAACCCCGACCCATTTTCTATTGAACAAAATTTAATCTTGGCAATCATTTACCTTTAACACTGTATGTCAGATAAATACATAGAAAGGTTACACCTTCAAACTCGCACGGTGATTCACATAGCTGTAATCTAAAAGACATATTTCCTCTAAAAATGAGATCTGGAAGAAATGATTTTAGATCTGAGATAAATTATCTGGGTTTGAACACAGGCACGTTTCAATGAGAAAGTATATAATACAAATATCCACGTTAGAGCTCGCGGGTTTAAGTACAGTTTATCGCGTTGTCGTAAGGCATTAGATTAGGAGTTTCATTAAAACTAACAACACATTCGTTATTGCCTACCTTAAACTATGTTGAAACTTGCTTATTGAAGATGATTTATACTGCAAATACTGAATAGTATTAAATCAGCTGGTATTTTTTCTTTCCCATATTCCACTAAGTATTTGATAATGATTTTGTTGTAATCTAATACGAGAACCTGCTGTACCCTGAAACAAGACCACGGAAATAAATTACGAGATAATCTCAGGATGTACCTAATATGGCATGTACTTGTTGTCAGGACATTATTTAAAATCTAGAAAGATAATGATGTAAAATGACAGACAAACATTTAGATTTAATTTATTTACAGACAAACAGAGTCTACATCAACATTGATCCCTCAAAATGTACAATTTGTAACCAAGTCATTGAGTATATTTTAAAGTATAGAAATACATGAAAAAACTGTTCTATTTCGTAAACATTTTCTCACTGAGTAATTGCTTTGTTACCATTTAGGCACCATGATATTGTCTACCTTTATAGCTTTCCACCAGTTTTTGTCTTGTTGCCAGACATGGACACAAATGATGATACTAAAAGCATGTTTTCTCTCTCTTTTTGTACAGAGATTTCATCAACTATACATCAGCCATTGTAGATACATTGTACATAAAACAAGGGAAATTAAATTTTAATTTATCTTCAGCTATTCAACTTTGCACATATTCTAATTTTTAGGGAGATGTATACTTTTCTTTTGATGATTCTATGATTTTATAAAGGATTTCTTGTTTAACAAATTAATATCAAAACTTCAGTTGCATTTATATATATATTTATGATTGAACATTTTATGAAGTGTGAAGAGATTGGAAATTTGTATCAAATGTACATCAAATTTTTGTTTCTTTTTTAGTTTATTGAATAAATGTCTGTATTTTAAGAATTCTGATTGGAATAAGGTACTTCATTGCTAATCCAGGTTTATTATGATATATTTTATATATTGCATTCATAGATTTCCTGTGTAGAGATATATGCAGCACCTGTTTCTTGTTTTACAAATGTGTAATGATATCTTTTGCTGTTGGTTTCATTTCAGTGTCTACTGACGACATTACTGACATCCACATTTGTGGTGCATGTCGCACAGAGTTCCATAATGTGGATCTCTTTCTGCTCCACAAGCGGCTCTCTTGCCCAGCTGTGCTGCAGTCAGCAGTGACCAGTACTGTACCAAGTCAAAAGGATGGAACAACAGTGGCTCGCAGCAACAACCTTAGTCAATCACAGGTATACATAAGAGCAATGTTGAGCTATTGGTTTATATAGCTGCTGATGACAACCCAAGCCAACTGCAGGAGAACTGTATTAGAGTTCTTAAGTAGATATTTACTTCTGGGATATTGTCACACATGTAGGGACCTAGAAGGTATTCATAGAAATATGTGTGTTTAATCTTGTTCCACACACATTCCTATTTCTCTCTGAAAACTAAAGAATATTTTCTTTCCCGGAGGGTAAGTGTGCAACCTTGGCAAATACTGACTGCATTATATCACACAGCTAGAGATAACTTCTCAACCATCTGACTAGTTTTAGCCAGACCAGAGGTTTGGGATACAAAACCTAGCAAAATCACTGAAAGACATTATACATCTGTTCTGTAAAGATTTCTTAAAGGCAAAAGTGATTTTGTTTAGTGAAACATTTTCTTCTGACTAGTAAATATATGTAGGAGATCTTAAGTCATCTGGAAAGAAATGTTTGATGTTTTGCTGACTACATCACTATGCGAGTAAGATGAACGACCAGTGTGAGATGTACTAGCACTGAAGTGTATAGTGTATGAGAAGGGTATTTTCTTTTGGATTTTTCAGCTGTAGTATAGACCTGTATTCACAAAGGTGGAAAAAAGTGAGATGAAACAGCTTTATCATTAAAAACACATAGAAACAGTGATCAATAGGGGGTAACGAAGTATTTTACCAAGAAAATTGATTTGTCTACAACAGGTGGCAGACTGGGAATTTCACGGTTGAAATTTGTTGTTTGCTCTTTCTTGAGAAATTTTGAATGGATCTTTCTCAGATTTTATGTGTATGTGCCCTTTGTTTTGAGGTGTGCATGGTCATTTTAGGGAGTGATTGGAAAAATGAAATTGCTATCTGGTAGCTATCTTGGATTTTGACGATTGAATTTGGTTTTCACTATTTCCTAAGAGTTTATTGACAAATTATTCTCAAATCTCTTTAGAAGACTCCCCTTGGTCCTTATTTGTGCATGCTATATCTACAGTTTTTTATTCTTTAGAAGTTTTTTTTATGGATCCTTTGATGGATTCTTCTTAAAATTAATTAAATAAATACTTAAGAGGTCCATTGCTTCATAGTTACTTATTGTCAATAGCAGGAATGATAAAAAAAAAAATGAAGCTGTTTAAAGATGGCCATCTTTGATTTGATGGTTAGAAGTTTTGTTTTTCTAATACTGAATGGAACATTCTCAGATTTCATATGTAGGTCTGCCTTAGTCTCTGGTTGTGTATGTTTATTTTAGGGTCAATATCAAACCTGAATACAGGATAAAAGATGCAACTGATACACAGCTAATAAAGATCATATAATGGTTTACACCAAGATCCCTTTGGGATCTTTAGTTATCTCATTTGTCAAACTACAGAAAATGCATACATAAATGTTGGTTTAGTTTTCATGATGTTCTTTTTGTGTTGAAGTCACAGACTTGGTAAACTGATAAAACTAATATTTACACATTGTGACTTCTGTGTCTGTTCTAGATTTCTGTGTCCAAAGGAAGTCATTCAATGGTTACAACGTCACTAGGTTCAAACATGGGTATTCAGGTTCAATCTCCAGGGCTGACAGTAGTGCAAGATGCCACAATGGAAACGCCACACCCTGGAGAGCGGGGAGGGGTCGCATCTTCCTTCATGATAACTCCACCACAGGGTCACGAGTACATACAAACCAATCAGAGGCCGGCAATCATCCAGACAACCAATCAAAACAAACCGGAGTCTCAGATCATCCTGACAATGAAGGGGGAGCTGCTTGTCTTACAACCCAATCCACCTGATGGGACGGAACAAAATGAGGCTGAAATTGGTCAACAAAATCAGGCCATGCTTAACTTCATACAGTACCTCCGCACCAACTGTGGCAGCACGACAAATGGTGAGGGTGTATACATTCAGAAGAAGCTATTATCACTATATTTAGGATTTTCTCCAAGATACTTTTATCATTTTTTGGCCACCAAATCCATCTAATTTTGAAGCTCATAATTACTGTAGTTCAGGTTAAAAATACCTTTCATGCATGGTTGTCATGGTATAGGTAACCATCTCAAAGGCATTAGGGCAAATCTGAACACTTTGTCAAAATTTTACATAGTTCTTCACTTCAATGCATTTAATTGTCTAAATGATGAAGGTAAAGTGCCTACATTTTCTTCTTTGATATTAGGTTTGTCCATAATGCACTTTAATGTTTCTGAGAGAAAACATTCATACTTCACTACATTATTGTGATGTAAATTTGCCAATTCACTGACTTTTTTTAAAGATAAAATGAAATCTAGAATTATGGCTGCTGCTTGTGAGTTATGAAATTACTGATTATATTTGCTTTGCTTGGAGCTTACCTGATACTTACATGTTTGGTATTGATATTCAAATGTCAAACTGGAAAAAGAAATATTTTGATGTGATTGGAAATTTTTTATGTCCTGATATTTAATGGGAAGGGCATATAGTATTACCTATGTCCTTCTGTCCTGTCCTGTTGCATCCAAATCAATGTCATATCTTCAGAACATCTCTTCAGATATGGCTCATATTTACCCCACAGTATCAAAACATCAAAATTTACACCTGATCAGATTCTAGTATACATGGGAGAGCAGGCATTTTTGTCTTTAAAACATTTTCTAGTTGAAAATATGTCTGTTAATATATGTTTGTTTCAGGTCCAGTCCTGCCTAGTCTCTTGGCTAATACGGAGGGAATAGCTTGCCCAACCAGTGCTCCGATAGAAGAACTTGGCCAAAATGGCTCTATATCTGTTATGTCAACTCCAGTCAGTCAGCCTTTAACAGTATGTCCATCTGATCTACATCATGAAAACTTACTAGAACAGTCAAATCAAAGAAGTTTGATGGAAAATCCCCCACAAGTGACTTTTGACACAGCTAGTCAGTTAGAAGGGAGTGACCCAAGCAATTCTGTGATTCCTGCACAAGATTTGGCACAACAAGCTGCCAGGTTATCTGGAGTGGTGGAGAGTGACCTCCAAACTGTTTCTATGGAGACTGATGCCCAACAGAGTGACCTTGACACTGTACAATACTCTGTAAATGTTGTAAACATTACACAGTCTACGAACCCTGAAGGTGTTAGACAAGTAATTCAGATACCAGAATCCAACGTCAAGGATGAGAATGTTGTTTTCTCTGATAGCATAGGACAACTTTTACAAGAAAGTAAAAAGTTAAAAAAATTTAGTGGCAAGACTGTTATTGCAAGGGGAGCTAAAGCTCATTGTTCTAGCAAGAATTCATCCCGATCTTCGTCATTGTCAAAGTTGTCAGGTTTGTATATAATTAAGTATACCTTAAAGCTGTAGAAAAATAAAATTACAGGTATTCTTATGCTTGACAGTTTTCTTCCGAACGATAAAATTTAATTCAAATGATTCAATTTCGTTACTTTGAAATTATTTTTTATCTGATAGTATTTGTAAACTCTCAGAATGATTAGGAGTGTAATGTTGTTGCTTTAAGTCTATAGTTACATTGAGTATGTAATTATGTCATGTATGTAACAGTATCAAGCAGAGGCTATGCGAGTCCTTTTTTAGGTCACTGGAGATAAAGTCTCAGGGATGACATATTGCGATCACCTTTTGTCTTGTGTTGTGTGTCATAAAATTTTAACATTTTTGACTTCTGCTGGAAAACCCCTGATTTCAATGAAATTTTACAAAAACCTATGGTTAAAAGCACACCAAAATTGTAAATTATATGGTCCCCAACCCCCAGGGGCCTGAGGAACGAGACCAAAAATGGTCAAATTGATTGAAACTTCCAAAATCTTCTCAAATCCCAGGTATGATAGAATCCCGTACTCTTCATGGATGGAAAGGTATGCAGATGCTTTACCAAAATTGTGAATTTCATAACCCTAGGATCTCGCATTTCCTCCAGGTGAAGGGATAAAGTTTACTATAACTTATAAGAAAAATCACATTGTTGACATTGTTTATTTTCTTTTGGAAATAGTTCAAACCTGGTTAGAATTATAAGTTTAAGATGACAGTTTAATGAGATGCACATATTGTCCTCTGCTGACCCCTAGAGGCTGATGGGCAGGGGAAAAAAGTGATCAAATTTACTAAAATTTCACAAGTTTTCTTCTCAATACCCAGATAATGTAGAACCAAATACTATTCAAGGATGGAAGTGTCTTATGGTGCTTTATAAAAATAGGGAATTTTGTGATCCCAGGGTCTCACATTTGCCATTAGATAATGGGTTGAAATTTACTATATTTTATATAGGAAAATGTTCTTCAGGAAATTTACGTTTTTTGAGCATAATTTGTTTATTTTCTTTCAGAAATAGTTCAAACTTGGTTAGAATTTTTCTTTTTATTAGTATAAGCTGAAAGTTTCATGAGATAAACATAAATCTTGAGTGTAGTTTCTTTTAATTTAAACTTGGTTAGAAACCCTAGCATGGGACAGCTGTTCATGTATACACAATTTACATTTACATTATGTGTACAATATAGTTAAAATTGTATTACTTATTTTTTTAACAAAATTATTTCTGTGACGTTTCTTGAAGCATTGTGACTAAGGTGACTGTTACAGCCATTGGGCTTCTTGTCTTGTGTTTGAGAACGGTCTGATTTGTGTTAACTTAGCACACATACTTATAGGAAGTGCTAGGCTATTCCTGTGACCCCTACATAAACCTCTTATTGCTAAAGGTACTCCCATCATCCACAACTTGTTTGTTATACTCCTACTTAGGTTATGGGGCTGTATAGTTCTCACTTAATCTGATAAGGCCATTGAAAGATATTTTATATTCACATCCAAGCATGACCCCACCAAAGTTGACACCTCATTAGATTTTGGTGGTCATCAAAGTTAAAGGTCAAAGGTCACTATTCATCCCATTTAAAATGAACAGCTTGTGTGCAAGATATCTCATGAATGTCAAATACACGAACCCTTCCATGGATTTAGATGAGATGAAAAAGTGAGGGTATATTTATGTGACCTGCTCGCTTTGTTTTTATATCGATCGTAAGTTCCTCTTGGAATGGAAACTCCTCCTCCCTCTACCCCCTACCAAAAAACAAGTATTTAAATCTGTATCCACATCCTTGATTTAAACTCTTATTTTGTGTACAGGATCTCCAAGTAAATCTCCAGGAACTCCACGCAAGGTCAGGACTCCACCTGTGAAAAAGTTCAAATGCCATCATGATGATAAATGCACTTTCTCATCAGCATACTTGAAAGATCTGGAGCGTCACTTCAGGACACATACTGGGGAGAAACCATTTTCTTGTAAATACTGTGACCGGTCATTCAGTAGGGTGGACAAACTGCACCTTCATATGAGGGCTCATACTGGAGACAAACCTTACAAATGCAAATTTTGTAAGTTAAATTTTACAATTGTCTGGTGAGGAGAATGTTCATTCTTCAATAATTCAGACACATTCACAATTTTGCAACCTGGGGAAAGACTGCTTACAAATGTAGCTTGAATGCCTATAATTAGAGAAAATTGTTTCTGTTCAAGTGATGGCATAGTCACTTTCCGGATTGTAATCCTGTCAAAACTGGATAAGTTTGATTCACCATGACAGTTTGATTTATGGTAAAAATAATTAATAAGTCGCCCATGTGTAATGTATATTTGAATGAAAATGTGTTTGGCAAAGCCTTGTGCTCATTATCCCAGGGTTGTGCTGTATGTTTTGGTATTTCTTTGAAATAGTTTTACGAAGAGGGAATTTTGTACTTGAGGATTACTGTTGAAAAGTGTTTCAGTGAATGCTACATTTATGAGCTGCAAGAATGTGAGTTATTGAGATTGTGAAGGGTTATTTCCCTTCTTTTAATCTTGTGTGATATTGAACAACAACTTAGTGTAGATTGATACTATATTTGCTCTCATACTTAAATGTCTACAGTGTTGCCCCAAGGATATGTCTAAAATTGCCTCCATTTCAGAAGAGTTCCTAATTACTATAATTACGTTTAAGGAGGAACTTAAAATCTAAATAATGAGGTTTAATCAAATTTTAGATGGTAGAAAAATGTGACAGCACACTTTTTTTTGTCACATTAATATGGTTTTATCAGTAAAGAAGAATTCTCAATTGTAATGAGTAAACTGATAGCAGGTTACAGTATAGGTTGAAGAAATAGAAACACCTATAGGTTGAAGAAATAGAAACACCAATGTGGTGATTATATATATTCATTTGAATTACAGGTAACTACAGTGCTGTGGACAACAGCAGTCTACGCAAACATGCTATTGTTCATACAGATGAGAGACCTCACAAGTAAGATTGAAATTAAGTTGTCAATATTATCTGAAAGGCAAAATATGTAGAATGTACTTACAAAAAAATATCAACAATTGTCAATTTCACTGCAGCTTGACTGTTTACACTGCCACATTATTCATGTGATTTGCCATCTTGCACTTCTATTGCTCTGACTAAATGTTGTATATGCTGCACATTTCACAAATTCTATTGTGGAAAAATGTTTTAAGAATTCTTTAAGGAGTTTATAAATTTTCTTTCAGGTGTCAGGTGTGCCCCTATGCCTGCCGCACGGCCAGTCAGCTAACTGTTCACCTACGTACACACACTGGTGACAGTCCTTTTCCGTGTCCATTCTGCCCCGCCAAATTCAAGATCAAGTCAGACCTGCGTCGTCATCTGAGGGTACACACAGGAGAGAAGCCCTACCAGTGTGATAAGTGTGATGCCAGGTGTGCCACAAAAGGTAGAATCATAATACAGTTATACACACCACGAAGTATCATGATAAAGTTATACACACCACTACGTATCATGATAAAGTTATACACACCACTAAGTATCATGATAAAGTTATACACACCACTAAGTATCATGATAAAGTTATACACACCACTAAGTATCATGATAAAGTTATACACACCACTAAGTATCATGATAAAGTTATACACACCACTAAGTATCATAATAAAGTTATACACACCACTAAGTATCATGATAAAGTTATACACACCACTAAGTATCATGATAAAGTTATACACACCACTAAGTATCATGATAAAGTTATACACACCACTAAGTATCATGATCAAGATAAAGTTATACACACCACTACGTATCATGATCAAGATAAAGTTATACACACCACTAAGTATCATAATAAAGTTATACACACCACTAAGTATCATGATCAAGATAAAGTTATACACACCACTAAGTATCATGATAAAGTTATACACACCACTAAGTATCATGATAAAGTTATACACACCACTAAGTATCATGATAAAGTTATACACACCACTAAGTATCATGATAAAGTTATACACACCACTAAGTATCATGATAAAGTTATACACACCACTAAGTATCATGATCAAGATAAAGTTATACACACCACTAAGTATCATGATAAAGTTATACACACCACTAAGTATCATGATAAAGTTATACACACCACTAAGTATCATGATACATATTCCACACAAGCACAGTATTTGACTAAATAAATTATACACACCACTAAGTATAATTTATAAAGTTATACACACCACTAAGTATCATGATAAAGTTATACACACCGCTAAGTATCATGATCAAGTTATACACACCACTAAGTATCATGATCAAATTTTACACACACAGCCATCAATTACACATAAAATAAACACTTGTTATTCGTGTCAAAGTGTATTACCCTTCCCATAATCTTTATCTGTATTGTCAATTTGTGTTTGTACATTAAAGTTATACACACACAACTACATTGAGTTTATATCATGATAAAGTTATACACACCACTAATATCATGATAAAGTTATACACACAGTTATCATTAGGCATACAGACAGTATCATTAGGTTATACACACCAGATATCATAATAAAGTTATACACAGACAGTATCATTAGGTATAAGACAGTTATCATTAGGTATAAGACAGTATCATTAGTTATACACAGACAGTATCATTAGGTATAAGACAGTATCATTAGGTATACACACCATCATATAGGTATAAGTTATACACACCATTAGGTATAAGACAGTATCAGTTATACACAGACAGTATCATGATAAAGTATAAGAAAGTTATCATCATGATAAAGTTATACACACCACTAAGTATCATAATAAAGTTATACACTATCACTAAGTATCATGATAAAGTTATACACACCTATCATTAGGTATACAGTATCATGATAAAGTTATACACACAGCTAAAGTTATTAGGTATAAGACAGATAAAGTTATACACACAGCTATCATTAGGTATAAGATAAAGTTATACACACCACTAGGTATCAGACAGTTATCAGATAAAGTTATACACACCACAGTATCATTAAGTTATACACACCACTAAGTATCATTAGATAAAGTTATACACACCACTAAGTATCATGATAAGTATAAGACATATCATTAGGTACACACAAGACAGTATCATGATAAAGTTATACACACCACTAAGTATCATATAAGATAGATATTAGGTTATACAAGACAGTATCATCATGATAAAGTTATACACACCACTAAGTATATCAATAAAGTTATACACACCAGTATCATGATAAAGTTATACACACCACAGTATCATGATAAAGTTATACACACCACTTATCATTAGATAAAGTTATACACACCACTCATTAGGTATAAGACAGTTATCATAAGTATCATAAGTTATACACACCCATCATAATAAGTATACACACCACAGTATCATTAGTTATACACACCACTAAGTATCATGATAAAGTTATACACACCACTATCAGTATCATAAGACATAAAGTTATACACACCACTAAGTATCATGATAAAGTTATACACACCACTATCATTAGGTTATACACACCACTAAGTATCATTAGGTATACAAGACAGTATCATTAGTTATACACACCACTAAGTATCAGGATAAAGTTATACACACCACTAGGTATAAGAAAGTTATCATTAGGTATAAGACATATCAAAGTTATACACACCAGCCATCATTAGGTATAAGACAGTATCATTAGGTATGAGTTATACACACCACTAAGTATAGATAAAGTTATACACACCACTAAGTATCATGATCAAGATAAAGTTATACACACCACTAAGTATCACGATAAAGTTATACACACCACTACGTATCATGATAAAGTTATACACACCACTAAGTATGAGATCAAGATCAAAGTTATACACACCATCATAGATAAAGTTATACACCACAGTATCATAAAGTATAAGACAGGATAAAGTTAGGTACACACCAAGTATCATGATAAAGTTATACACACAGTATCATTAGGTATAAGAAAGCCATCATTAGGTATAAGACAGTATCATTAGGTATAAGACAGGATCATTAGGTATAAGACAGTATCATTAGGTATAAGACAGTATCATTAGGTATAAGAAAGCCATCATTAGGTATAAGACAGTATCATTAGGTATGAGTCAGTATCATTAGGTATAAGACAGTTATCATTAGGTATAAGACAGTATCATTAGGTATGAGACAGTATCATTAGGTATAAGACAGCCATCATTAGGTATAAGACAGTATCATTAGGTATAAGACAGTATCATTAGGTATAAGACAGTATCATTAGGTATAAGACAGTATCATTAGGTATAAGACAGTATCATTAGGTATAAGACAGTTATCAATAGGCATAAGACAGTTATCATTAGGTATAAGACAACTATCATTAGGTATAAGACAGTATCATTAGGTATAAGAAAGCCATCATTAGGTATAAGACAGTATCATTAGGTATGACACAGTATCATTAGGTATAAGACAGTATTATTAGGTATGAGTCCGTATCATTAGGTATGAGACAGTATCATTAGGTATAAGACAACTATCATTAGGTATAAGACAGTATCATTAGGTATGAGACAGTATCATTAGGTATAAGACAGATATCAATAGGTATAAGACAGTATCATTAGGTATAAGACAGTATCATTAGGTATGAGTCAGTATCATTAGGTATGAGTCAGTTATCATTAAGTATAAGACAGTTATCATTAGGTATAAGACAGTTATCATTAGGTATGAGTCAGTATCATTAGGTATAAGACAGCTATCATTAGGTATAAGACAGTTATCATTAGGTATAAGACAACTATCATTAGGTATAAGACAGTTATCATTAGGCACAAGACAGTTATCGTTAGGTATAAGACAGTATCATTAGGTATAAGACAGCTATCATTAGGTATAAGACAGTATCATTAGGTATAAGACAGCTATCATTAGGTATAAGACAGTATCATTAGGTATAAGACAGTTATCATTAGGTATAAGACAGTATCATTAGGTATAAGACAGTATCATTAGGTATAAGACAGTATCATTAGGTATAAGACAGTATCATTAGGTATAAGACAGTTATCATTAGGTATAAGACAGTATCATTAGGTATAAGACAGTATCATTAGGTATAAGACAGTATCGTTAGGTATAAGACAGCTATCATTAGGTATAAGACAGTTATCATTAGGTATAAGACAGTATCATTAGGTATAAGACAGTATCATTAGGTATAAGACAGTATCATTAGGTATAAGACAGTATCATTAGGTATGAGTCAGTATCATTAGGTATAAGAAAGCCATCATTAGGTATAAGACAGTATCATTAGGTATAAGACAGTTATCATTAGGTATAAGACAGTATCATTAGGTATAAGACAGTTATCATTAGGCACAAGACAGTTATCATTAGGTATAAGACAGTATCATTAGGTATAAGACAGCTATCATTAGGTATAAGACAGTATCATTAGGCTTAAGTCAGTATCATTAGGTATAAGACAGTTATCATTAGGTATGAGTCAGTATCATTAGGTATAAGACAGCTATCATTAGGTATGAGTCAGTATCATTAGGTATAAGACAGATATCAATAGGTATAAGACAGCTATCATTAGGTATAAGACAGTTATCATTAGGTATAAGACAGTATCATTAGGTATAAGACAGTTATCATTAGGTATAAGACAGTTATCATTAGGCACAAGACAGTTATCATTAGGTATAAGACAGTATCATTAGGTATAAGACAGCTATCATTAGGTATAAGACAGTATCATTAGGTATAAGACAGTATCATTAGGTATAAGACAGTATCATTAGGCATAAGTCAGTATCATTAGGTATAAGACAGTATCATTAGGTATAAGACAGTTATCATTAGGTATAAGACAGTATCATTAGGTATAAGACAGCTATCATTAGGCATAAGACAGTATCATTAGGTATAAGACATCTTTTATTACAGGTATGTGTGCGTGCGTGCATGTTTTTATTTATTGATTTATTTATTCATTGATTTTATTATTATTAATATTATTATTTAAAAGAATCTAGTTGTAATGATGAAAAAAGAAAGTGGAAATTTGAAAATGAAAATCATTACAATACACTTCTTATTTCTCTTTTCAGGAAATCTGGCCAGCCATAACCGTGTTCACCACTCTTCTGAAAATCAGATGAAGTGTACAGTATGTGATTTCTCCACCTCATCAAAGAGAAGCTATAAAGAACATATCAAAAGTCATGAACCTGATGACCCAGATTGTGTGTGCCATGTATGTCAATACAAGTGTTCCAATAGAGAGGTGCTTCGCAGTCATCTTTCTCGCCACGAGAAGGAAAAGAATTACAACTGTATGCACTGTTACTTTTCAACCAACTATAAGGCGAAGTTGACCCTCCATATAAAACGTAGGCATATGCAAATTGAGCCAAAAGTCACTAATACAAAAGGAAGACAAGCAAAGTCATCAGAGGTTAAGGTGTCTGGTTCATTGGGGAAATTTTCAAAGGCATTTACCTGCCATCTGTGTCCAGAATCATTTGTTAGAAAAGATTCCCTGCGAAGTCATATACGGCTACATGAAGAAATGGCCAATTCAACACTCACAACAGCTTTGACAGTGTTAAAACTACAGCAGCCTGTTATCAATGTTTCAACATCTGGAAGTGGTCAGTATAAAGTTGCTCCAGTAAATGTTGATGGGATACTGGACACAAGAGATGGAAACTCTGTTAGGCTTTCCAAAGGTCAAGAACAGGTTGTGACACAATATGAAGGCGATCATACCACTATTGCATCTGTAGTTAGTGCTGATAATGACATAGAAATTGAGAAAGGAAGATATGGGAACAGGACAAGTAAAAAACATTCACAGTCAAGGGAAGGACATTGTGAAGGTGCAAATGAGCTCATTCATGGACAGGATAGACTCCAGAGGGAGGAACTGCATCAGCAGGGTATGGAGATGATAAATCTGCAGACTGATGCACCAGAGCTAAGTCAGATTGTATCTCCAAGTTACAATAACACATCTTCTCCAAGGGTTCAAACATCTATGGATTCATCTGTAGTTACATTGGATATGCGTACCCTGTCATCAGATGATATAACCATTGTTGAACCTCAAGGCATTGCTGAAGCAAGGAAAATGTTGCTCCATCGACAAGGTCACAATCATCAGTTAAGGACCACACAGGAAAAAAGTGATGACTTACCATCTCAAAATTTGTATCGACAGTTAGGGGCTTCAGAGATACCATGTGATGTACAAGTAAGAAATGTTAGTGAATCAACAGACTTATATTGTTCCAGTAGTGATGTTACAAAAAAACAGTTATTGGAAAGGAAAAACTGTGATTCAAACAATGACAGATACCAGAGTGAGATTTATAGCACCTCCTCACCAGAACAGAACAGTTCAGGGGGAGGTAATCCATTGGAGACTACTACTGATGATACTAGACATGTTATACAGACTGTGACAGAGTGTCCAGAGGTGTCAATGTCTGACCATGTCCAGTTTCAACCTCAGATGGTTCCTAGTATACAGTTTGTCCAGAATATCTCTTTCCCTGTAATTCGTCATCCTTCTAGCTTAATCATCCCTTCGGTTAATGGTCAAACTATTGTAGGAGGAACCATACAGCAAGGGGACATAACCACTCTTCCACAAGGGGAAGTAACTGCCATGCAACAAGGAAATCTAACTTCAATCCAGCAAGGTGATGGAACCTCTTTGCAACAAGACTTGAGTTCTTTTCAAGGTATAGCCACTGTACAAGGGGACATAACCTCAATATCAAATGTTCAACCAAGGGGTATAATTACCCAACAGCAGGATGACATAACTAGCGAACAGGGAAGGGATATAAACACCCTGCAGCAAAGAGAGGCAACAAATACTCTGTCTCTCAATGCCCAGTTGCAGGACGGCGACACACATTTAACCTTACCGATACAAATATTGCCACAACAGAATCAGAATTTCCAGATGATAGGTGTCTCACAGTTACTAAACACAACTTCAAACGGTGTTCAGATTCTTCTACCTAGGTCTCTTGACAACTATAATGCTGCAGATGAGAATGTTGTGGCCAGTTCTATTACACCATTAGAAAATCCAGCAATATCCTGTACACTGAATCCAATGGATGAATCATCTAGTATAAGAATTGGTCAACAGTCATTTGTTAGAAGTAACAAGCTATCGAAAGTTACTACAGGACAAGTCAAAGTAGCTTCAGACCAGACTGTAACCGGCAGCAGTGGAGAAAGTGTGGACAGCTTGATTGGTCATCAGGTCAATGGCCAAAAGGGAGTGGTCATTCCCATGTCTCCTGTCATACAGCAGAAAGTACAGACAGGTGGTCTCATTTCTACAACACCTTTATTACCACAGATTCAACAGACAGGAAATCTTGTCTCCACCTTGCCAGTGGTTTCACAAAAACAGCCAACTAGAAATCTTGTCTCCTCCTTGCCAATGGTTTCACAAGCACAGCAGAAAGGAAATTTCGTCACCTCCTTGCCTGTAGTGTCACAGACACAACAAACAGAACATCTGGCCTCCCCTGTGACTGATGGTCAGGACCTGGTCTCAATACCAGTGAGTTTAATCCAAGTTCCACAGATAGGTAAGTTAACTTATTTGAAAATGTCAAAATGAAAACATCAAAATAAACTGGCATCTTGAAAGAAATAAAAATAAATAAAAAAAAAACCACTTGAAAACCTTCATCTCTCAATCTATCCAAAAAGGCAAAACTACAATTTATTCATTATTCAACATAGTCTAAACTCTGTTTTAAAAGTACGCACTGTTTACATGGAACTTTCAACATAGTCTAAACTCTGTTTTAAAAGTACGCACTGTTTACATGGAACATTCAACATAGTCTAAACTCTGTTTTAAAAGTACGCACTGTTTACATGGAACATTCAACATAGTCTAAACTCTGTTTTAAAAGTACGCACTGTTTACATGGAACATTCAACATAGTCTAAACTCTGTTTTAAAAGTACGCACTGTTTACATGGAACATTCAACATAGTCTAAACTCTGTTTTAAAAGTACGCACTGTTTACATGGAACATTCAACGTAGTCTAAACTCTGTTTTAAAAGTACGCACTGTTTACATGAACATTCAACATAGTTTAAAAGTACACACTGTTTACATGAAAAATGATAATTGTGAAGTCCTGATTATTAATGTTACGATTCACATGTAGTTTAGTTAGAAGAAAAGTTTAGATAGTGTACAAATAATTTATTGATTGGGTTCATGAGTTAGTTACACACATTTTATTACAAAAAAGAGTTCAGGGTCTTCAAAGTTTGACTTCTTTGCTTAACTTATATTAATCATAGAACACTCTCAAAGTTCATATATGACAGTTTGGTTATTGTTACCCTTTAAACACAGTGTCCTTTTGTTCCTAGTGGCATGTGTTAACTCTTACCAGCAAAATAATGTTCTGGTTCTCTTTCTTCTTTTCTGTGGAAAGTTTTCTGCATTGTGATTTACTTTTATTTTATCAGAAACAAGTCAGTCATTACCAGACCAGCACACAAAAATGGGCAGCTGTTGAATATATCGCTTGGAATTAAATTGGTGTTAAAGGTATGTATATTAACAGATAATATATCGTTTGTTGTTTTGTGTCAGTTTGATTACTTTTAAAATACATGATTAAAATATGATGAATCTCAATATAGTATTAATTTTTACTTGTTTGTTCAATTGTTATCCCAAGAGAATCGGTTGTTGATTGGATTTAAATCTATTTTATTGTCAAAGTAAGATAAAAGACAAAGTCACCTTTTGACTTTTCTTAGTTGTCATTAACTAGCCTGTGTCAACATCAACAGATTGAAATCTAGGAGACGTGAGCATTACTTGGTGGGTCTTCTCCTGACATGTCGTGGTTCCATGTCTTTTTTTTTATGTTCATACTTTTTTTTTCTTATTCCTTTTGTGTGCGAATCACTTTTGTGCATTTCGTAGGTAAAGCAGAATTAATTGCTGGGAATTAAAATATTGATAAGAAACATAGATTTTCATGGATAAGTTGAGTTGATAAAGTATACTTGGACTATTTACCTACCTAACTCTTTATCCTGAATTTGTGTACATTGTGTTTTGTAAATTTCTTTTTGTCAGGGTACTAATACTTTCAGGTTTGAGGGTGACTTATTCTTATGAGTATTGGATTCTTGGTGGTACATATTGTGTAACTCTGGATAAATATTGCTAGAGAGTTAGATTTCAATGACTGGGCTATTTCTATATGTAGCCATGCAAGTTTTCAAATAACTGTGATTGAACTTCATATTACTTTAAATTGGAAACATTGGACACCTTATATGTTGAATTTCAATAGACTGTCCCCATATTCAATGTCACAAAGGTAAAAAAATATTCAGACAACTTAAAAGCCCTTGCATCATGATATTCAGCTGGTATGTTCCAGGGATGAAGCTCGAAAAAGGTTTGTCATCAGAAATAACCTTAAACGACATTCAAGGTCATAGGAGTCAGATTTGTTAATACTGACAAACGACTTACTCTGATAAACTGAAAGGTTCAAAATTGTAATATTTAGCTGGTAGGTTCCTGGGAGGAAGCCTAAAAAAAAGATTTGAAAGATTAATGTTCTGTATAAGTATAAAAGCATTCAATATCAGGTGAGGTATGCAGGCCTATTGGGCTTTTTGTTTGTGTGGATGTATATAACATATTTGCTGTTAATGAAGTGTCAAAAGTTGTTAAGGTGTGTAAATAGGTCATTAAGTGACCCATATTCCTATTACGCCCTGTGACAAGTTTACTAGTAGTGGCCAAACTGGCGACCAAAAGTAGGGTTTAATGAATATTGTCAGCTTCAAATTCTGTAGCAATTGTTAAGATATTACAAGAGTAAATCTTTGCAAAGTTAGATATGAGGAATGAAAAGTGAAGTTGGTTTATCATAATTCTTTATAATTTTGGTTCATGGTACAAAGGTAATTCCTATTAAAGGTAAAACTTTTTGTGATAATCACACATAAGTAGACAGGTCATTCTTCCAGGAGAGTGTATAGTTACTGATCTGTCCATCTTTCTGTGTTTGGAGCATAACTTTGCCCACAGTATGTACATCAGTTATACTAAGGTGATGTGCATTGGCAAGGCTCTCAACCACTTTAATTACAGTTATTCCCCAATGTTAAAACTTTGTGTCTGTAGCATTCATATTTAAACTAGGATAATATAACTCCTGTGTGTATATTGGTGATATTAAGACAGTGTGTAGTGTGTAGGGCCCACAATCTTTAATTACAAAATTATTGCCCTTTGTTTAAATTTTGTTTCCATTAAAGTTGTTTTTGGGGGCATTCATCAGTTTCAATGAAAATCTTTTTTTCAAATTGTCACATGTTTTGGACTAATTTTTCCACTGAAGATTGGGCATACATGTTTCACAAACAAAGTCTTGTTGAATGGAAGACAACTGTCTTTCGGCAAAGGTTCAGATCTTCATAATACTGAGTGGACAAACTTTTCAAGATATTTTTCTTAGATAGAGTTTTAATAGATTATTTTAGATGAGAGTTACGTCGCAACCTACTAACAATAAACGGAGTCTTTCCTTTTGTTGTCAACTACTTTCAACTGTTACAGCTGTATCAGGACTTCTGTCAATTGTTAAGTGTGTTGGGATGTAACTTTCACTTCAATTCTTATCTCTATTTGTGCATCTTTGTATACCCATAGGTATCCACACCAAAAATAATACACTGATCATCCTGTTCAACCAGCTAATGGTGTTCACTCTGCCATTCTAATAGATTATTTCAGAGATTTTTTTTTCTCTTTTTGGTCGGATTTATTCAACTTATATTTAGTTGCATACTAAGTGTTATAATTTGCAAATGAAGTGTACTATTGTTGTTAAAAACTGTACTATTGTTGTTAAAAACTTTCTCTTCAACATAAAAATAAAATCAAATGCATTGTTAAAAATACGGTCCACGGTACACAAAAAATGTCTGATTTGTCATGTAAAATGATATGAGTTGTCTTTCTTTGTTCCTGTAACAAAGATTACCGAGCTAGATTACAAAATTGCATGTTTGGTTGAGGTATATCTGATTCCAGCTGTGATTGATGGCCTGAATTGATTATTTTACCATGATATTGCAATATCTGATAAACTGTAATCATGGAAGATGTGATATATTGGTATTTCTTCCTGTGAAAGTGGATATGTACATGCTCAAATTAAAATAATTTGTCATTTGTAGAGTAAATTAAAAGTCGAGCCTGTGACACATACAGATAACTGTCAGTATATTTTAGTGAGATATAGACGCTACCATCACATATTAATCAGCGCCACATGTATATATATACCACTGCTACCAAACAGATTTACTGCAATTGAAAATTTTCCTGCAAAAAATTGTAACTATTTCCGTTCCTACAGAATTCTCTCAAATTACATCACAAGTTATTTTGTCAGCACTTGAAATAGGGAATGTTCATTACTTTCTGTGAAAATAAATCTAAATGAAAAAGCTGATTTATATTCTTCAGTTATTGTAGAATATTAAAATGTTTGCAGTGTTAACTGTGAATTGTATTAATGTAATCCCACCTGGTTTTCTTCCACACTGGTTTATAATCACTACTGCCAGGTACTAAAAAACGGACATTTATACTTACCAAGTAAAATATTCATTTAAGATATAGTGTTTTAAGGAGCAGCTACGACGTTTTCCCCCACCATTATCGTTGCTTTGAGAGTTCACTTAGTAGAAAGTGTATAGCTATAAACTAATAGATATAAATCATATTTTTTTTACTTTTGATATGTCTGTACTTTGAGTTTTGACATGTTGGAGACCAGTCCATTCCCTAAACACCTGCTCTAAGAAGAGATTTATTCATAATTTCAGTGTTTTGCAGTATGTGTAGGTTTTAGTATATCTAAAATATGTTGAAATATGTTTTTTTGTCTAGTAGAACTTGGGAAGCACATTTTTGTTACAGTGCTTTAAACTGGAAACATCTGCCCAGAAACAGCAATTTTTCAGCAACGAAAAACTTAACAAAACGAGCAAAAAGGCACAACACATACATGTATATTGTTCTGCCAGGGGATACACTTGTTAGCACACCTGGTCTAAAGATAGGAGTAGGCTGATGGCATGGTGCAGCATATGTCATCTCTCAATCATCCAGCCTCATCCATCAACATTATTTTTAAAAAATCATTGCTAGTTATCAACAACAGAAGCATCTTTGAGGTCAGGTTACATAGTAAATTCTCTTTTGATGACAGGAAAAAAACGTTTTTGTCCATGTTTGGTGTAAAGGGATCTTTTGTTCAGTTAACATGCTTCTGTTTCAGCACAAATTATAGTGTTCCAGTTTCAGATCAGGATGTAGTGTCCCGATATCTGTACTGGTTGTAGTGTTCAAGTTAGAGTACAGTTGGGTTATAATGTTGTTCCTGTTTCTGTACAGGTTATAGTGTTCCTGTTTCTGTACAGGTTATAGTGTTCCTGTTTCAGTACAGATTGTAGTGTTCCTGTTTCAGTACAGATTGTAGTGTTACTGTTTCAGTATATGTTGCAGTGTTCCTGTTTCAGTACAGTGTGTAGTGTTCCTCTTTCAGTACAGGTTATAGTGTTCCTATTTCAGTATATGTTGTAGTGTTCCTGTTTCAGTACAGATTGTAGTGTTACTGTTTCAGTATATGTTGCAGTGTTCCTGTTTCAGTACAGTGTGTAGTGTTCCTCTTTCAGTACAGGTTATAGTGTTCCTATTTCAGTATATGTTGTAGTGTTCCTGTTTCAGTACAGATTGTAGTGTTACTGTTTCAGTATATGTTGCAGTGTTCCTGTTTCAGTACAGTGTGTAGTGTTCCTCTTTCAGTACAGGTTATAGTGTTCCTATTTCAGTATATGTTGTAGTGTTCCTGTTTCAGTACAGATTGTAGTGTTCCTGTTTCAGTACAGATTGTAGTGTTCCTGTTTCAGTACAGATTGTAGTGTTCCTGTTTAAGTTCGGATTGTAGTGTTCCTATTTAAGTTCTGGTTGTAGTGTTCCTATTTAAGTTCGGATTGTAGTGTTCCTATTTAAGTTCTGGTTGTAGTGTTCCTATTTATGTTCTGGTTGTAGTGTTCCTATTTAAGTTCTGGTTGTAGTGTTCCTGTTTAAGTTCTGGTTGTAGTGTTCCTGTTTAAGCACTGGTTCTAGTGTTCCTATTTAAGTTCTGGTTGTAGTGTTCCTGTTTAAGTTTTGGTTGTAGTGTTCCTGTTTAAGTTCTGGTTGTAGTGTTCCTGTTTAAGTTCTGGTTGTAGTGTTCCTGTTTAAGTTCTGGTTCTAGTGTTCCTGTTTAAGTTCTGGTTTTAGTGTTCCTATTTAAGTTCTGGTTGTAGTGTTCCTATTTAAGTTCTGGTTGTAGTGTTCCTATTTAAGTTCGGATTGTAGTGTTCCTATTTAAGTTCTGGTTGTAGTGTTCCTATTTATGTTCTGGTTGTAGTGTTCCTATTTAAGTTCTGGTTGTAGTGTTCCTGTTTAAGTTCTGGTTGTAGTGTTCCTATTAAAGCACTGGTTCTAGTGTTCCTATTTAAGTTCTGGTTGTAGTGTTCCTGTTTAAGTTCTGGTTGTAGTGTTCCTGTTTAAGCTCTGGTTGTAGTGTTCCTGTTTAAGCACTGGTTCTAGTGTTCCTGTTTAAGCACTGGTTCTAGTGTTCCTGTTTAAGTTCTGGTTGTAGTGTTCCTATTTAAGATCTGGTTGTAGTGTTCCTATTTATGTTCTGGTTGTAGTGTTCCTGTTTAAGTTCTGGTTGTAGTGTTCCTGTTTAAGTTCTGGTTGTAGTGTTCCTGTTTATGTTCTGGTTGTAGTGTTCCTGTTTAAGTTCTGGTTGTAGTGTTCCTGTTTAAGTTCTGGTTGTAGTGTTCCTGTTTAAGTTCTGGTTGTAGTGTTCCTGTTTATGTTCTGGTTGTAGTGTTCCTGTTTAAGTTCTGGTTGTAGTGTTCCTGTTTAAGTTCTGGTTGTAGTGTTCCTGTTTAAGCTCTGGTTGTAGTGTTCCTGTTTAAGCACTGGTTCTAGTGTTCCTGTTTAAGCACTGGTTCTAGTGTTCCTGTTTAAGCACTGGTTGTAGTGTTCCTGTTTAAGATCTGGTTGTAGTGTTCCTATTTATGTTCTGGTTGTAGTGTTCCTGTTTAAGTTCTGGTTTTAGTGTTCCTGTTTAAGTTCTGGTTTTAGTGTTCCTGTTTAAGTTCTGGTTGTAGTGTTCCTGTTTATGTTCTGGTTGTAGTGTTCCTGTTTAAGTTCTGGCTCTAGTGTTCCTGTTTAAGTTCTGGTTTTAGTGTTCCTATTTAAGTTCTGGTTGTAGTGTTCCTATTTAAGTTCTGGTTGTAGTGTTCCTGTTTAAGTTCTGGTTGTAGTGTTCCTGTTTAAGTTCTGGTTCTAGTGTTCCTGTTTAAGTTCTGGTTGTAGTGTTCCTGTTTAAGTTCTGGTTCTAGTGTTCCTGTTTAAGTTCTGGTTGTAGTGTTCCTGTTTAAGCTCTGGTTGTAGTGTTCCTGTTTAAGCACTGGTTCTAGTGTTCCTGTTTAAGCACTGGTTGTAGTGTTCCTGTTTAAGTTCTGGTTGTAGTGTTCCTATTTAAGATCTGGTTGTAGTGTTCCTATTTATGTTCTGGTTGTAGTGTTCCTGTTTAAGTTCTGGTTGTAGTGTTCCTGTTTAAGTTCTGGTTGTAGTGTTCCTGTTTATGTTCTGGTTCTAGTGTTCCTGTTTAAGTTCTGGTTGTAGTGTTCCTGTTTAAGTTCTGGTTGTAGTGTTCCTGTTTAAGTTCTGGTTGTAGTGTTCCTGTTTATGTTCTTGTTGTAGTGTTCCTGTTTAAGTTCTGGTTGTAGTGTTCCTGTTTAAGTTCTGGTTGTAGTGTTCCTGTTTAAGCTCTGGTTGTAGTGTTCCTGTTTAAGCACTGGTTCTAGTGTTCCTGTTTAAGTTCTGGTTGTAGTGTTCCTGTTTAAGATCTGGTTGTAGTGTTCCTATTTATGTTCTGGTTGTAGTGTTCCTGTTTAAGTTCTGGTTTTAGTGTTCCTGTTTAAGTTCTGGTTTTAGTGTTCCTGTTTAAGTTCTGGTTGTAGTGTTCCTGTTTATGTTCTGGTTGTAGTGTTCCTGTTTAAGTTCTGGTTGTAGTGTTCCTGTTTAAGTTCTGGTTGTAGTGTTCCTGTTCATGTTCTGGTTGTAGTGTTCCTGTTTAAGTTCTGGTTGTAGTGTTCCTGTTTAAGTTCTGGTTGTAGTGTTCCTATTTAAGCACTGGTTCTAGTGTTCCTGTTATACTTTACAGAATACCGAATTAAATTTAATGTAATGATAACAAATAAAGGACTGTAATCATAAATAGAGAGAAATTATCATAATGCTTCTGTGTGAAGGAGATATTTTGAATATTTCTTTTCATTACAGGATGATGAGATTGGATTTGTGTCCATTCTTAATAGAGAGTTGTGTGTTTGGAAGGAGACTGTCAGATAGAAAGCTGGAGACATTTCATCTCTACACCCTAGTGGTAAACGTTAAAATGACTCTCATATAGAACAACATTGAGCTGATTACCAGGAGTAATAACAGGCTAATAACTGAAAATATGTAAAGGTTTTACTGTTCATAGGATACTTTGGTGCTACAGATTGTTGACAACTACACATATAGATAACTGGATGTTAAACAGTTCTTTTTACAAGTAAATAAAAGTTGTGCTATATTACTGTAAATATTTTTGTTTTTCAATGTGTATAAAAAGTTGTACTTCTAATTTAACTACATTAATCTCTGTCAGTGTATGTATGTCTGAAACAGACATTTTTGTAGCATGTTATTTATTATTTAAGGAGGTATTGCTATAGTATAATTATTTTTGTAAACACCATACTACTGTCACAGGTATTGTTTGTCAAGTTATCTAAACAAGTGACTTTGTATGGAATTTACTAAACATGTTCCGTTGCTCGCTAGAATACAACTACCTTGAAATTTTACATGTTTAATTAATTAATTTATTTGGGTTTTTTTATCTTTTGAATTTTTTTTTAATGTTTTGAAAACATTTAGAATGAATTGGTGCAAATTTGAAAAGAAAGAAGTTATTTCATGTTATATGAAATTTTGTTTAATTGTACATATAGGTGATTATGAAATTTAATTTTGTTTTGAAACTGGGTGCAAAGGTCACTGTACAGTGCTGTCAGCCAGGTAAAAATTGTCTCGTCAGTAATGCTCGAGGCTTTGAAGTTGTCATGATCAGTGTTCAAGAAGAATTGTTGAATAAAGTCACCTTGATCTGTTTAAGAAAACTTGATTTGCCATCAAGTTGATTGGTGATTGTTCATAGATACGATTGAAAATTTGTACATTGAGTTGGCTGGAGAAACATAATTTATGACAAGCTATCAAACTTGGTAGGATTTAAAATTTTATCCTGTGGCAAACATTTAAACATAGGACTTAAAAATTGATAATTCAAACCAGTTATTTAATATGAAAACATTTGACACATCATATTAGCTGCATTTTGTGCAGTTAGAGGCCAGAGGGACATGAAATTCTGCCTAAAAATGTGTGCCATACATTAATCTAGGTTTATCATTTACTCCTATTTGGGTCTTGATGTGTTACAATGTCAGTTAGATGACATAATTGCTAAAAATTTTCAGCTGTTGTGAAGTAGCCCCTTCACTTAGAATTGGTGCTTTTTTTAGAATTCCGATTAATTCATCATAGAAAACAAATGTATTTTATGTGCAATCCCTAATTTTCAAAAGAAAATAATGTACTGTATTCTGTTTCAATAAAACCTGACTTAATCAAACTTGTAGGGACCATGTCACTACTTCAAGGAATAGGGGTATTTGAGTTATTGGAGGTTGATCAAAAGATCATCAGTAAGGACCATTTGAATGTCCACTGTCTGTGAATGACATATTCAATACTCTAATTTGATCAGGTGACTAATTTCATTGTACTTATTGGTGTGTGACCTGCACTAAATATCTAAATTTTATCTCTAAAACTTTGTTTCTGTAGCCGCAGCAGGTGAACATCAATTATTGACTGCCTAGTTCTTTCCGATTCATAAACAGCCAAAAACTTATAGTGGACTGTTCTCTGTGTAGACTTTCCCAGGAGTAATTCAGTACCTGTGTCAAAAGTGGAGAGCGAATTTTATATCTGTATTCAGTAATCAATCTACACTTTATTTTCATGGGTCCTTTTTAACTTAATTGCTAAAAACAGTGGGTCCCATTTTGTGAAATTAAAGTTTTTCCAGAAATTCTAGAGCCCCATTAAAATTCTGAGTACAGGACTGTGGACTAGTGTAGATTGATTACTGAAAATGATGGTTATGTTGATTATTTCTAAATTCTTTTTATCAAAGAATGATTTTGCTTACTATAAAAAAACCATGAACAATATACAATAAAAAATAAATGATTTTGACTTTCAGTTATGTTGTTGTTTATGAATATCACTTTCATTAATTGAGAAATTCCAAACCAAAACACACTGATCCGGCAGAAACGAGAGCCCAAAAATGGAGGTTATATCCCAGTGAAAGATGCAGACACTCTGAGCCTCTTAGGAATGCTTACATATGGTACCCATACACAAAGAATTGATGATTTTTAAAGTGAACAAAGTTTGTGTGAATGACCCACAGGGAAAATAGTTATCAACATATTTTGTTATACTGACCACGGGACCGTGTATATGTATCAAATTTTATTTCATTGTAGAAATGGGGAAAATGGAAGGTTTTGTTAGAGATAGAAGATATAGCCGATAACGCTTGGAACAATCTCTGCCTTTGATTATGATTTGTCCTGGTGATTGCGTATCAAACAAAGATAATAAGATGAGACAGTACAGATCTGTACAAAGATCGGTATTCGACAGTACCTTAATGAAACAAAAGCAAAATATGATAAAAGGATTTTCACTCGGCAACGTTTGGAAAAAAGCATGGTAATACCTTTAAAATGAGTACTGGAAATGTAACGCATTTTGACGACACCTGCCATGTAAACGTAGGTCAATGCACGTTAATGCAGCGTTCTCTAAGAGCAAGTTAACAACGAACTAACGATAAACTTCATATCACACAAGGATACAAATGTACCTTACATTGAGGTCTTGACATTAAGATTTTAGTGTTGTCTTCATGAAGTTGACATTAATGGCGCCTAATTTCGGACATCTCGCGTTAGCGTGGCGACAAAATTACGCACCAACGCGACTGTGGAACAAGATAGTTGGCGCGTGGATTTGGTTGCGTGGTCGCAATGACAGCGTGACGTAGCGAAATGGTCAATGTCAACATACATATTTGTAAAAACACATGAATATGAAATAAACAATACGACATGTAGATAAATGCAAGACGGACCTACTATAGGTTGGTAAAGCTTTTAACTAGGACACAGGTAGAAACCAAAGTAAGTTCGTTAGAAAAAGAAACATTATTGAAACAAGAGATGTATAACATGAACAAGAGATGTATAACATGAACAAGAGATGTATAACATGAACAAGAGGTGTATAACGTGAACAAGAGATGTATAACATGAACAAGAGATGTATAACATGAACAAATGTATAACATAAACAAGAGATGTGTTACATGAACAAGAGATGTGTAACGTGAACAAGAGATGTATAACATGAACAAGGGATGTGTAACATGAACAAGGGATGTGTAACATGAACAAGAGATGTGTAACGTGAACAAGAGATGTATAACATGAACAAGGGATGTGTAACATGAACAAGGGATGTGTAACATGAACAAGAGATGTATAACGTGAACAAGAGATGTATAACGTGAACAAGAGATGTATAACATGAACAAGGGATGTGTAACATGAACAAGAGATGTGTAACGTGAACAAGAGATGTATAACATGAACAAATGTATAACATAAACAAGAGATGTGTAACATGAACAAGAGATGTGTAACGTGAACAAGAGATGTATAACGTGAACAAGAGATGTATAACATGAACAAGGGATGTGTAACATGAACAAGAGATGTATAACATAAACAAGAGATGTATAACATGAACAAGGGATGTGTAACATGAACAAGAGATGTGTAACGTGAACAAGAGATGTATAACATGAACAAGGGATGTGTAACATGAACAAGGGATGTGTAACATGAACAAGAGATGTATAACATGAACAAGGGATGTGTAACATGAACAAGGGATGTGTAACGTGAACAAGAGATGTGTAACGTGAACAAGAAATGTGTAACATGAAAAGAGATGTTAAACATGGTGGTCGAGTCCTAGTCACGTATATTGTTGAGTACATGTAATTGATATGGTCACTACAGCTTGTTAAAAAGGCCTAAAACCAAGATATTGTCAATATATGCAAAATTGACATTGAGACACTCGACAAGGTCATCAGTTACCTGGTTTGACGAGCTCTTCTTTATATCGAGTTTAATCTAAAACAGGTCAGTCAGCAGAGGTGCACAGCTTGTTCCCATGGTTACATCAACTGTCTGTTGGAAGATATTACCAACAAGAAACTCAATCATTCTCTCTATTTTTATTTTAGATATAGAGAAAAGATGTCCACGAGTATGCTCACTTATTACAGATTGTATTGCCATTCACCCTGTGAAGTAAATATACCTGGAAATATTCTTTCTGTTTGGTGTTAACAGTAGGGGAAAACAAATGTTCTGATAGAAGTGATGAATTTAAGGAGCGGATCAAAATCGCTCTTACATTATTTGCAATGGAGTTAGTAAACAGCTTGGAGTTCATATTCCATTGATTGAACTTATATTCTCGATACGTATATTTTGGACCCTTCATTAAAATCTTGTACATTTTAAGTTTAGACAGATCTTCGGTGACAACTTGTACAAATGGACCTAGAGAAGGACAAACAAGAACTTGGTGGAGAGAGTTGTTCTTTAATTCCACAAATTCTGCTTTAGACATTGAAATTGTAATAGAGGGCAAATGTTGATTAACACGACAATTGTACAACGTTAAACACTTTAAATCTGTTGTCTTCATTTCATATCGTTTTTTTATCTTGTGTATTAACATTAAAGAATGGTTAACATGTATTTTTATTTTTTTTCACTCTATGGTAAATTGAATTGCTATGTAATTGATATATAATGTCTGATGTTTTAGAGTTGCTATCCAGAGACGTAGTCACATTTTCCCGCCTAGCCGATATCAGAACAACAATATTTTTCGTGTCGCACGTGCAACGTGTTTCTGGTCGATTGCTCATATGACTACCTTTATTAGTCTTTCATATTGTTATGTTTCCCTAAATTACTTTTCTTTCTGTTGACATATCTTTTTACAAGTTCCTAATCGAGTTCAAATTCATTATGTATTTATGAGATGAGAGGCCGTATAACATAATGATAGTTCTTTAGGCTAACACTGAAAAACTATCACGGAAGTAAATATGAAATGGTACAATCTGCCGGTCACTCTATAATCGTACATGAAGCTACCGTAGAACTGTCCGTTGCTTCCATAGAAGTTATCGCATATTTTCTATAACAACAAATGAGACTGCTTGTCCTGTTTGCACAGCGTAGTTATGGCGCTGTCTCTCTGCGTTAGCTCAAGCGATAGGTCAACTGTGCAAATATGTCGTCGAGGGGATCGCTCCTCCGGGGTTAGAAACCTTGATTATTTAAAAGCCGTACATAGTCAGAGTGTTTATAGACAGCTGCATGACTCCTTTTGCCGGCAATCATCTCCATTATATTAGCCTATCCACTTCTGTAATAACTGTCGTGGCTCTCTGTATATATATCTCTCACCAAATGTGCGGCTTCATCAGATTTCGGATCAGGTTATATCCATACTATTGTGGATACGGACAGGATTCATTTCCTTAATTTCCGAATCAAAACCTCAACTCTAGCAGGAAAACCTATAATAGTCCAGAGATTGATGTAAATAATAATTCAGCTAGTTCTTCCTATGTCTGTAATAAAAACTAGGGTCGTCTCTAAGTTATTAGCTCCGTCAATAAAAATCTATTATATCGATATTGAGCTAATACCAACTAATATCATACACTATATTCAATTAGATGTCGTCGCCTGACGAATGATGATATAGGTTTCACACCGCTCCAGCTTATCAAATAATATCGATGTAATTGACGCGACGATTGCCCCAGGAAAATTGTCAATTTTTTCTTTGATTGAATTACTGCAATTCTGAGATGACTTGGTGTCAGTGAGCATCAATCATCCCATCACCGAAGGCTGATAATGGAGTTTCGTCTGCTTGGCTACTACCATGATTTATATTTCCAGCAAAAATGAAATTATACGAGTATGTGACAATTTAGTAACACACCTCGTGGCTACAGAAGTTGCCTGATGATACTAGGACAATGGCGCCGTGTCACTTCGCCAGCATGTCAACCTCCTGTAGCTCAGATGTGCGCTTAAACGACGTGCCATGCGTTGTCATGTTGCTTCCCTTGTACCTTTGTCTCTCGTAGCGCAAACTTGCGCCTAAACGACGTGTTAGATGGCGTCGTGCAGTTCGCCTATTTCTTTGTCTCCTGTAACTCTGACCTTCCCCCGAACGAAACGCCTGATGGCATCATGTCAATCCGCCAGTATCTGTAATAATCTACTGTTACGACATGCGCCTAAACGACATACTTTGGCGTCATGTCATTTGGCCTGCGTATTTGTCCCCTGTAGCTCAGACGTGCGCCTGAATGCGTGCTTGATTGCGTTGTGTCACTTCGCCTGTTTCTTTGTCCCCTGAAGGCCAGACATGCGGCTGGTCATGTTACTTTTCCACTTTATTCGTTTCTTATAACTTAAAAGTGCGCCTTAACGACATGCCTGATGGCTCGTGCGCCTAAACGACATGCCTGATGTAGGTCAGAGGTAACCGTCAACGACGTGTCCCATTGCTTTACACGGCAACCAAGTAGTCCGAGGACACCTCGTAAAGTGATAAAAGACCAGGTCTTGCGAAGACAACCTAACATATGAAAGTGATGTCCAAACCTCCGACACAGCAGTTATTACTTTGAAATGTTTGTGTTTTAGAAATGTGGTTTCTTATCTTACCCAAGCTAAATTGTTTCTCTTTGTGTATGAAGAAATTACTATATTTTCCCATGATTCAAGACAGATTTGTAGGACGGGTTCAATTACCACCCCGCCCCTCTCCCTTTTCATATCGTTTGGACATTGGGGAACCAACAAGCCTACTACCGGCTTCCGAACCTATTTCAATTGTTTGAAGAGGACTGTGGTGGGTGGGTGAGGGGGGTGGGGGGCAAATGTGGTGAGCTTCTTAAAAGAAAAGTCAGTGAAATATGTTGTTGTCTTATCTTTTTGTGGGTTAACATTCGCTTTACCACTAAATATTTCAATAACAGAGCATGTAACACGGCTTTCTTCCAGACTTTCAGCCTCGAG